TATGACGGGAAGGGTGTTTACCCGTTAGTCGCCACTTCACCGCCCGGGAGTCACCCACTGCACATCAACAGAGGGACCCACTGGTCTGGCCCCGTTATCACCAGCTCTCACTCTCAACCTTCACTCACCTTTGGTCCTCACCATCAACACACCGTCCATCACCGTCCATCACCGTCCATCACTGTCAACATGCTCTCACCATCAACACGCCAGCACCGACACGCCACCCACCCACCGTCGAAAATCCGCATCTCCCTTCATTCGGACGAATTCTGCTGCCACTCCAGCCAGCAGGGACAAATACTCAAACCAATGGAGACCACTTGAATTTCAGACGCCACCCCGACTGGCCACCCCGCTATCAGCCATGACTCGACGCTCTAATTCACACCAAGTGGAGGAGAATGTCCATTCTTGAAGCTCAGGGAATGGTTGAGCGCTACAAATGTATTGTTCGAAATAGAGCCATGTACGGCGGCACATACATACAATACTGAAGTCATTTTACACCACGTCTTATTGGATTCTTGATTCTATCGATTTTTTGGAGCAGGTCTTGGCTTCTTCGAGTACTCTCGAATACTAGTCTCTGACACCACGAAGAGGTGCCTGCAATTGCCAGAGGATCAGGACGAGGACCGCGGCGCCACGGGTCGCCTAATGAGCGCAAATTTGATAACGCAGGGCTCAAGGCTGCATGGAAGCTCAAGATTATACAATCACAGGGCTCAGGGCTGTGAAGGAGAACTTGGTGTCGCAGCGGTCTCCTGCGAAGGTTCTTGGTAACGCAGGCGTCCCTGCGGAGCACATTTTTACAACGCAGGGCTCATTGCTGCGAGGGAGCACATTTTTACAGTCACAGGGCTCATGGGCTGTGAGGGAGAACTTGGTGACGCAGCGGTCTCCTGCGGGTCTCCCTTGGTTTCGCAGCGTCCCCCTGCGGAGACTCTTGATCTCGCAGATGTCCCTGCGGAGGCTCTTGATGTCGCAGATGTCCCTGCGGAGGCTCGTGATTTCGCAGATGTCCCTGCGGAGGCTCTTGATCTCGCAGATGTCCCTGCGGAGACTCTTGATGTCGCAGATGTCCCTGCGGAGCACATTGTTACAACGCAGGGCTCATTGCTGCGAGGGAGAACTTGTTGACGCAACACTCTCCTGCGGGTCTCAATTGGTAACGCTGCGTCCCCCTGCGAGGCAAACTTGATTACGCGGGGCCTTTCGCGCGAAGACTTTTTGGTAACGCAGATCTTACCTGCAAAGGACACCCCAAGGCTGCGAGGCCTGGAGTGTGAGGAGGAAAGTCCTGCTTTTCTTTTCGACGGGAAAAGAGCGTCTTTTATGCCATTGTGGGTAGGGTCTCCGGCAGCGACCACTTGCGTAAATTTTGCCGAGTCCAGAGATTTTGACTTCAAATTCGCACTGGGCGACCCTAATTTCGTGGGTGTTGAGGCGGTTTATCAACGTTGAAATAAGAAATTTCAAGAGTTCGGGGCGGAGAGAGCGGGTGGAGTGGCACGCCCCACCTGGACCCTTGGCTCCCCTGGGTCTAGGCCTGACAAATAAAATGCCTCAACGTTGTTGACAAAGGTCAAACGACTCTCAACTTGGCTGGTAAGTTCGAAAGAATAGGCTGGCTCTGGCAAATCGACTGACCATACCCTCGAACTTGTGTTTGTAGACTTTGCCATCGTAGCTGCCTCGATGCATGCTACCAATTTTGGACGCATCTACCCTTCCTCACTACATTTATCTAATATAGGCACTGAATGAACGAATCTTTAATTAAATTATCAGTTCGATTGACCCCTGCTAGGATGTTACAAGATTATCCAGCCCGATGTGCACGCAGATGAATCTTTGCTAGTAGGACACATTGAAAGTGACAGCTTTGCGGCACCAATCGCTGGGCGCTGACTTGCAACTCCAACCGCAAATCCAACTTTCTGCAAGCCGCGGATTGGGATGTCCACTTCGTGCCGAGAGCTTGTTAGTCAACGTTTGTCCCGTTGAAACTCCGCTGAAGTGTGGCCAAATGCTTATTGGGCCCCGCTTTGAATTTTCACGATGTGAGGCCAGATATGACTGGCCGGGGCTCAGGGTGATGGCCTCTTCCACTGCGACCATTTGCTCGCCGAATCTATTTTCACATATATAGAGTGTCACCCGTCACGAATCATATAAGAGCGACTCTCGTCATAACTTTCAAACAGGTCTATTTGTCGGCAGCACCCCGCTTGATTCGATACACGACTATGGGAGCCATTCGGAAAATTCCATACACACGGCAGATGCCAGACTTCCGACGTCGATTGCAGCGCGCACTGTCCTTGTCATCCTCGGAGTCCGAATACAGCCGAAGCCCATCCCGACCTCTGTCCGGAGACACTACCGAGGAAGAGCCATCGACGCCCTCCAACAAGAATGATCAAGCTGCTTCGCAACAGGGCAATCCTCCCAGTACCCACGATCACAGGGTGCTTCCGAGTCCTCAATACGGCGGACACTTATCTCAGCCCAGAGATAGCAACGTGCTTACCCTCACATGCCTCGCAGAGTTAGTCCGAGTCACCCCTTACCGTGAAAGCAAAGTCTTTACTAACAGATGATACTTGAAGATTAGACGTGCGGGTGAAGTGAGTTTTACATTTCCTCCAAGCAATACACAAAGGGCTAACCTAAGGCCAGATCCCTAGATTGTAAATTGACGGACCAAAATAAGTGTATCGAGGATCTCCGCAGGGACCTGGCAGACCTTCTCCACCGGCTGGAGGCTGTCGAGGCGGAAGCAGAGGAGCGGATCAAAAGTGATATGACTGATGCGCCAGTTGGGCCGGAGCAGAAGACGGAGCAGACCCGGCGGTCGCAGCGGGGATAAAATTCGGCTGGCTCAGGGGCCTCTATGGACACTATCTATGCATAGATTCATCAAGAATTCGTCATATGGGCTCTCTCACGCTGACTACACTCTTGCCTTACGACTAGCAGCTGTTGTATTTTTGGACTAGGACCACTCTGGTGCTTTCTCTACGTGTTATACACTACATCTGTCTTCTGCGAATACAGCAAAGGCTTTTCAAATGTACCTTTTATGAATATACCTACCAACCGAGTCAGTCGATATTACGTATTACACAGAGGTAAATCTTTGCTCAGTGGCCGATTCTTTATACCAATTCGTCCCTTCGGTAAGTCTTTCCGGTACAGCGGCAACGCGACGAATAACGCAATTGTTTTTAACTTGATATGAAGATGATGGAATTTGAAGAGACATTTTGACACAAATAGCATGGCCCAGGCGAAGGTATGGCACCTGGCTCTGAAACACATCCTACTGATGAGTAATTGGTTTATGAGTAGAAGTGACGCGAATTTGAGAAACGCCCAGAACCTGAACCGAGATAGCGGCTTTCACCCTGCTGGACCTCTCGAGCTTGATCGCTAGCTTTGCCTGAACCAACCACGACCTCTCTCTCATCTGTTGTAGCATATAATCAACGCGATCGCAAGACGGATCGATAGAAGTGTCAAGCTCTATCTCGAAGTTCCTCCCATCTATCGACGCATGAATCCAAATGAACCCCATCGAATACTCAAAGCAGGCTGGGTCTGCATTCCCCGAGGTCACAAGCGTGTTGAAAAGAGGTCCTATCGTGGTTGACGGAAGGCCGGCGCAAAGGTACCTCAAATCTTGACTACTTGCCGTCCGTTTCCCCTTACTGATCATCTCCACCTCATCGGTTGACCGTGGATCGAGAATGACCGAATCTGAGATCCAGTACTCGGTTGACCAATTGTAGAAGAGTGGAAAACTTTTCCCGGCCAGCAAATTCTCAAAACGAAGCATGCTTTCCCGGACTTTGGAAGGTCTTTTCCATTCGGGTAGCCCAAGGAGAATGATCTTCATATCTGTCAGGTTTTCTGTATGCAGAAATCCCACCTGATAATCCTCCGGCTTCAGATTCGTCAGGTAGGCCGGAGGTTTCACGACGACACTTCCATTCAGCATACAAACGAATTTGTCTGCCCTGTCCGGTCTGTTGGAAGGGTGATCCTGTGGCATGATGGTGGATTGCAAGGTAGTGTTGATGCTCTGGCCACAGAACTTGGACTGCTCCCATTTCCAGACAATCTCCTCGGTTTTCGAATATAGAAAAGGGAGCCGGTCCACAAAGGCTTCAGAGGAGCGATGCATCGGAGATGGAGGCTTGTCTTGATCAGGATTAGCATTGATATTTGCCATAGCCGGAATCAGATATCACATACCGACGGGCTTTTTACGGAAGCGATTGAAGTCGAGCTTTGAGTGTCTGTACAATGGTTTGCCATCGAGATCCATTTTTTCGTAGTCGTGAATACAGAACAGGCCTGAAAGCAATGCGGCGAAGCTGGGATAGACAAATTGGCGATCCAAAGGCTTGTATAAGGGGGGTGATGTAGCGTAAAAAAATCAACCAAGACACTTCTATGCAAGATGATGTCGAGAGAAAAGCAATCACGCCGAGCTATGCAGCTATGCAGTTGTCCAAAACAGATTTTGAAATGGGATGGTGATGGATCATAATTTAAATCATTCAGTGATGATTCACCTAGCACTATGTCGTTGAGACTTGAACTGATTTCACCAGTGCAGCAACTAATGATACACAAACACACATCTCGGCCCCTCTCAGCCCCCGCAGGGAGGCCAAAGTTTGAAACGTTGTGATTGTGGAAAGAGGTTCTCAGTCTCGCCACAGAGAAGTCTTTTTGGGTACTGTCTACGCTGCATAGGACTAAGAATAACCATCGGGCTGTAGCTATGCCATCAAACCGAGTTCGGTAACTTCAGTACTTTTTACCACGGCAGGGCATGCATGATTCTTTTCTCATAACTTTACCGCAGCCTACTCTCTCGGTTATGATACATACGATCAAAAATCTTCAAATGGACCTTTCTATTCGAATTAAGAAATTAGGTTTCTTTCTCGTATCTGATCATCCAGTCAATATACCAGCCCCTTCTAGGTCATCCGTTGTGCCATAGGTCCGACAGAAACATAAAATACATTAATGTACAGTTCTTCTCGGCGGCCACCCCGACAAATCTCCTGCCACGCTTTGACATGAAACATTTCCGTGACCACGATGCGATCGGGCTTTGATTGCATAATTTCAGGGATCATTTTGATATCTTCTTCTAGATCTCGGATCAGACTTTTGCTGTAGAACAAAATTGCAGAGGTGGTGGCCAAATCACGAATGGTGCAGTTAGCAAATGGCTTAATCCCCCAAACCAGAGATATCCTGGGAAGAAGGAGCGGATCTAACGATAAGAATGCATGCGTGTAATAGTTTATCACCTCCGCTCTGTTTTTGACATCAATTCTTTGGGGAAGTACTGCCGCAACCCTGACTTCTTCGTTCTGGAACGCCCTTTGAAGACTTGTGAGGATGGACTGCAGCTGCCCCATCGAGAGGTTAGAGGAGAAAATTGGTGACATTCTCAGATGCTCCAGCATGGCAGAATAGAATAGCTCGTCACGTAACCAGATCTCTTTCGATTCGTAGTCCCGTATATGCAGAGCATCAATACCCATGAAAGCGTAGCATATCAGAGTGATGCTGGCTCCCACACCAAATGGTCTGTAAGGAAAATAGGGTTGGTCGAAACACTTTTGAACAAAGCTAGACTCTTGCGATGAATATTGTCCGAGAAGGAACAGAATATATCGGATCTGCATTTCCAAGTCTTCACATGACATAGTACGCAAGCCCTGAGATTCGCTTAAAGCGTCGCGGATATCACTGAGCCAAGACTGCAACCGACTGTACTGCAAGGCGAAACTGTTCTCCCAGTCATAGTCACTCCGGTATATTATGGCCCACAAGGAGCCTTCATTTCCAGGGAGCTTTGCAGTAATGAATAAGTAGTTTAGAACCAGTAAGAGCTGATGAAAGGTGTGGCGGCCCTCGGCTGAAGGAGTGCCAGGTGCTGGAATTTGGGGTTGGAGCCGAGGTGGCAAGGAAACCTGGAATAGTGTGAGCCGTGAATGCTACATGTAATGTACAAAGAGACCGCCGAATTTACCGGAAGAGCCATATCAAAGTATGACTGCGTTGTACAAGGGCCGAAAGGGCTCAGGCGCTCCTCAGGATCGTCTGTACTGAGCGGAAAGCGGCCGACAAGACTGGGAGGTAGGTTCTGCGATGTCACCACTTCGCTGTCGATTTTCCAATCTTCCATCAGGCCGTTGCTGGCTTGGAAGTCTCTTGAATATAAAATGTCGGCAGATGGAGATTGGCATTCATACCCCGTTTGATTGGCAACTTGCCCGGCCTCACAAGTCTCTCTTTGTGAATCGATGGTCTTCTCATTTCGCTCATTATACTGCGTCTGCTCGGCCTCGAAGACAGCCTTTTGCCGCTTCGAGCTTTCTGGCTGGGCTGCCGGAATTGTCTTGTGTCCCAAGGCCAAAGGGACCCGTTCTTCATACAAACATAGATCCGGTTGCCCACGGTCACAGCAAGACTGACAGGCGGGTATATCTCTATTGCATCCTTTTTTGGAAACGCGACAGGGGATGCAGGGCCGCCGTAACTTTCTAGAGCATGAGGCTGCCAATCCATGAGACTTTGTCATGGCTTTGGAAATAAATAATCAAAACTGGATTGATCGCAGATGTATTCTCTTGCTTCTATCAAAATGGCGAAGCAATTTGTAATAAGAAGAACGGTCGAGATAGTTCGTGGCTTGGGGATATCTGATTTGGATGAAACTGTCGGGATATATCCCTCTATCAGAACAAGCCAGCGTCTGATAGATCACATTTCTGTGTATGTAACCTTGCGCTAAGCTGCGGTTCCGGCTTATAGGATTCAGAGGTACTTCGAACCTGAGCCGGAATACACATCTATCATATACACGAATCAATCGACCTTTGCTTTAGAAGCATAAACTGTTCACTTAACTGTGTACACAGGACCTAGCTGGTGATACCAACACTGATCAGTGGTTGATTACAACCACAGAACAGCTCGGTTTACACGACCTGGAAGAGGCATTGACCGCAAGGGAACGGGGAAACGGTTGCAGTACCCTCATTGCGGAAGGTGTGCTAAAGGATATCAAAGTATCTCACTGGGAAACGGATGCAGTACCTTTGAGACACGGAGGATTTCCAAAAGATCTACAGTTGAAACCGCAACGAAGATCTGCGTCCATCACGCGAACAAGGCGTTAACGGGAAACACTTGCAGTACCGTCACGACACGCAACCTAACACTCAATTCGTTGATCCATTCCACCCACTGTTACCCTCGCCTGAACAGCCATGCTGCCAATCCCGGACAACCTCCCGTATCCCATCGAGGAGAAGACATGGGGGAAATCCGTCGATACGCTGGATGAAAAGAACCAAACGGAAGGAATACTAAACGGCCATATAACTTGTGTACTACGGGCATGGAACATGATGCGCATTACCGACCGTGCCCTATGGAACGATTTTCGCGAGGAGTTTAATGGATGGACCCTAGGCACATTCAAGGTGGCCAACAGGGCCGCATTGAAAATGGTTCGAATTCACCTGACTACCCACGGAGTATGGATCAGGGTAGGTCCAGGGATATCTTATGCGAAGGGACTATACGACTGTCTCCAAGAGATCACTCAGCACGAATGGACCAAAGAAGACATCGAGGACCATCTTGTTGTGATATGAGGCTGGTGCAGATCAGGAATCAAGCCGAACCATCGGAATTAACTCCGTGGTGTCTATACAGAAGACCAAGTTGATTGGAAATCAACTTGGCTACACGTTGTATATATAGCCTCATCTTTCCTCCTAGAGTAAAAACACAATTTAAATACCTCTGAACTACATCAGGTTATGAGCCCGGCAGCAACTCTCGGGTGCCGTCTCTACTCATCTGAGATTCATCTTGACTATCTTAACTATATATCTACCCCGCTTTCACAACCATAACCATGTCTGCTCTGGTTCACGACTCGCCCGACCGAGCCGTCACGGCCATCGAGCCCCTGACAGGAAGCGACAACTTCGCAACCTGGAAACGCCTCATGACCTCCTACCTCAAGGCAAGGCAGGTCTGGGATGTCGTGTCGGGCGACCTTGAGCGCCCTGACTGCTCTTTCAAGTACGCCAAGCCCATTACGGCGGACATCCACCCCCTGGTGGAATCGCACCTCGTGGGGGCGGTGAGGCAACGCGCCATCGAAGCGCGCCTCGAAGTGGAGGTCCAGGCATTCGAGCGCCACCGTGAATGGTCGCGCCGCGAGGCCGAAGCCTACCACACTATCTTCCGGTATCTGTCCCCCCCATATCAGTGTCCATGTCGCGGGGCTGGAGACATCCCGGGACCTCTGGAATGATCTCGAAGAACGGTACCGGCGGATGGAACTCGCCACGTTCTGCGAGCTGTTCGCTTAGCTGCGCGAGACCACCGGCGAGCGCTGCGGCAGTGCACGTGAATTCGTCGATCGTGTACGGATGCTAGTCCATCGATTGAATGCGATCGCCCCTGGTTCCATCGGTGACAAAGCGCACATTGCAATCCTACTGACGCAGATCGGACCGGAATACATCCTGATTGTGGATGCGATCCAAAATGACAAGGATCCTGTCAACCCGGCCAATATCGGCAACCGTCTAGCGAATGCTGAGCAGACGGTGCAGCGAAAGGACGCAGCGACGTTCCCGCAGCGAGTCCCCAGCGGAACAAGCAACCCTTCCATCAATACGGTGCAGAAGAACACCAAGAAATGCAACTACTGCAAGAAGCGCGGCCATGTAGCTGCGGAGTGCTGGAAGAAGCAGCGCGAACAACAGCCGCCCAGGGACCATGCCCTGAAGGCGGAACGGAGTGTTTCCGGCTCACCAAGGAGCAACCTACAAAACATACCATCAAGCCAGATGGAAGATCGGCAGGGCCCGCCGACTTCCAAGAGACCGCGGATCAATATCGTGAGGGCGAGGGTGACGACCCTTTATACCCACGCACCGCAACCCCGGTGGATCCTGGACTCGGCCGCCACCAGCCACATCTGCTGGGACCGCAGCTGCTTCAGCAGTCTTCGGCCTCATCGCGAGATGTTGGACACGGCGGGCGATCCAGTGGAAGCCGAAGGGATTGGTACGGTGAAGCTCACGCTCCGGGGGAAGTTCAACCAACCCCTGGTGTTAAAGAATGTATACTTCGCGCCACGCGTCGGGATGAACCTGATCAGCGCGCCGAAGCTACTACGAGACCGCTACTCGGTGGTGGCGCACCCGCAGAACGTCTTTGTGCAACGCCGAGGACGGACGGTGGGGACCGCCTACCATACGGAGGAGGATCTACTGATCCTGCGGTGCCATGTGAGCAAAAGATCCCGAGAGCGAGTCCAACTGGCGAGGGCGCCGGCGACCCATGACCATGCAGATTCCCTGGAACCGCAGGCGGTGGCCATGGACGTCGACGACCCTCAGGAGTCAAGTGACGTAGAATGTACAGCGTCAACCTCTGAACTCGGTGGTGAAGCTCGGATACTCGAAGCAGATGCGGGCACAGGAGTGGACCAGGCCCCCGAAGCGCTGTGGCACGCTCGGATGGGACATCTGAACCGGGGCGACTTGAGGGTGGTCCTCCGGCAGACTGGCACTCCGTACCGACCGCTGACACAGGCGCAGCTGCAGGCAACGCCGCAGTGCCCAGCGTGTATGTCGGGTAAGCAGCATCAGAAGAGGAACTCCCGTGCACGACGGCCACGTCTGCATTCAACGAGAATATTCGAATTGATCCATTCGGACATCATGGAGATGCCGATGGCCAAAGAGGGCTCCAGGTACGTGATCACCTTTACTGACGACTATTCTCGAGGCTCGTGGGCCTATGCCATGAGATGGAAGCATGAAGCGCTCCAGAAGTTCCGACAATTTGAGGCCTGGGTGCACCGACAGTTCGGCGCCCAGATCAAGAGGTTCCTCACCGACAATGGAAGAGAATACCTGCCGATCGGAACACACCTCGAAAGCCAGGGAGTTGAGTTCGACACCTCGCCGCCATACTGCAAAGGACAGAATGGACTGGCCGAACGCACCAACCGCACTATCCGGGAGCGGATCAACACGCTCCTGTCCGATGCGAACCTACCTCCTTCCTGGTGGTTCGAGTTAGTGGACACTGTGGTCTATCTGAAGCTGCGCGCGCCAGCTTCAATCCTCCAGAAAAAGACCCCGTACGAAATTATCTACGGGAAGCCGCCATCACTGTTACATCTACGACGGATTGGCTCCCGGGCATGGGTCTTAATCCCAAAAGAGCATCGAGCAAAACTCGGAGCGAGATCGTCTGAGTGCCGACTGCTAGGTTATTGCGAGCCGAATCAGTACAAGCTCTATGAAATCCATTCGGGAAAGACGGTCTTTTCCCGTGATGTCGAGTTCGACGAGAGGACCCCGGTGGCGCCACTCGTCGAGGGGGAAACAGGCAATGACCACCCGGACAACGCTCCTCCATCGCCCGTCTTTCCATCAATGCCGAGCTCAGCCAGTGGGCTACCTACACCACCTCCATCGCCATTACCTCTGTCAGGTGATAAAGATAAAACGCCATCTGAGCGTGACGAACAGACACCTCCAGTGGTCAATCCAAGCCAACAAGGAACCGACTTGACATCGGATCTTGGGTATTCAATCTATGGTCGCAGACGAAGACCGTCACGGCGCCTCCTGGAATCACTCGGCAAGGTATACTCGGCAGGCACATTGAACACTGCATCGGACAGACAAGTTGACCCGACGACCTTTCGTGAAGCGGTGTCTGGATCAAACCAGCTGGAATGGTGGGCCGCCATCCAGAAAGAATATGCGTCACTTCTCGAACACGGAACATGGGAAAAGGTCCCGCGAAAGGACGTTCCCGCCACAGATCATGTAATTGGGTGCAAATGGGTCTTCAAGACCAAAGCCAACGGAACGCGCAAAGCGCGATTGGTCATTAAAGGCTACCGGCAGAAACATGGTATCGACTATCACGAAACATTCGCCGCGGTGTCACGGATGGACTCCGTTCGCTGCATTGTTGCCAGTGCCGTGCTGCGCGGATGGAAACTTCACCAATTCGATGCGATCACCGCATTCCTTCATGGTGATGTCGATTCGTCTATCTATATGGAGCTGCCCGAAGGCTTCGAAGAACCAGGATATGTGTGTCGGCTGCGCCGCTCACTATACGGCCTGAAGCAGGCCCCGCGGATTTGGTACCAATGCGTCCACCGCGTCCTGGCTTCTCACGGCTTCACCATGGCCCAATCGGACAACTGTGTCTTCTACAAACCGGACTGTGTCGTTTGCGTTTATGTCGATGACTTTCTTGTTGCTACGGCAAACACGTACGAAATAGAACAAGTACGGCGGGCCTTGCAAACAGAGTTTCGCCTAAACGACCTGGGCACTCCACAATCGTTCCTCGGGATCCAATTCGACTATCACATCGATGGGTCCGTGTCTATTCACCAACACCAGTACATTCAGAAGATACTCTCCGACTTTGGCATGGAGACTTGCCAGCCGAAGTCTACGCCGATGAATCCCAAGCAAACCCTTAACCATCGTCCAGAGGAACCTCCAGACGAGGAAGGAAAAGCTCGGTATGCGACTGCCATTGGTTCGTTGATGTATCTCATAGTTGGCACGCGACCGGATATTGCATTTGCGCTGGGCGTGTTGAGTCGCTTCACGTCCCAGCCGCAATCGCATCACCAAGTCGCTCTGCAGCGATTGCTTCGCTACGTCAAAGCCACGCAATCTCATCGCATTACCTACCGCAGTGGGCAGTTGATCGGGTACACGGACGCCGACTTTGGGGGCTCCGTCGTCACTGACGGAGCATACTCCACCTCGGGCTATGTGTTCCAGCTTGCAGGGGCGCCAGTTTCCTGGTCGTCCAAGAGACAGGGGAAGTGGCCACGTCTACGACACATGCCGAATACATCGGGCAGTACAACGCTATTCTGCATCTGCAGTGGCTCCGCACTTTTCTAGCCGAAACGCAACTGTATCGGTCGCCGGTTACTAACATCATGGCTGACAACCAGTCCGCCATTGCGCTTTCTCGCAATCCCGAGTTCCACAAACGGACGAAGCATTTCAATGTGAAATTTCACTATCAGCGAGCGGTGCTGGATGCAGGCGAGATTCAGCTTCAATATATTCCAACTGGGGAACAGGCCGCGGACGGTCTCACCAAACCATTGGGACCTATGGCCTTTGCCAAGTTTTGTAGTCTCTTAGGCGTCGATGCTTCAGAGACCTCGAGACACACCGCGTGACAGCGCAGGCGCTCTTTCCACTTTATTTTCCCAACGTGGGTTTTGAGTGGTTTTACTGAGGCCTGACTGCTCTGCGCGAGTCCAGTATCGCCCTGCTAGCAAAGCGATTCTGAGGGGGAATGTTGTGATATGAGGCTGGTGCAGATCAGGAATCAAGCCGAACCATCGGAATTAACTCCGTGGTGTCTATACAGAAGACCAAGTTGATTGGAAATCAACTTGGCTACACGTTGTATATATAGCCTCATCTTTCCTCCTAGAGTAAAAACACAATTTAAATACCTCTGAACTACATCACATCTAAAGGAGCGCGCAGATAGCTTCAACTCCAGACGGAACCCTGCACGCGACCGATCACCAACCATCCAACCAAATGCCCCAGCAGCACGAGCTACTTCGGTGGATCCATCAAATCCCCAAACCCTACGAACCGATGTTGCGAAACCACACGTCGAACGAATCGACCAGAGAAAGGAAGAAGCCAGATTCGCAACGCTCGATACAGCCGCGGAGGTTATAACCAGTAAAGAGGAAGCTACAGATCCGGAAACAACCGTGAGCTCGCTCCATTTCGTGGATCAGGACCGCGAGGAGACTACCGGGGAAGTCGACGATTCACTTAACTGTGTACACAGGACCTAGCTGGTGATACCAACAGAAACTTTGATAAAAGTGAGATGCAATCGAAGCGACAATCTGTCTACTTTAAATACACCAGCAACCGTGGTCATGATGTTCTTCAGACGGCTTTTTCTTACACATTCTTCAAGGCTTTGGTGGCGAGCTGTACGGCTCCTAAAGTGGTAAGTAGTGAGCCCTTTCGGCATACTGGATCCGATGCTGCCTGAAAATACATGGTGTTATCTGGACCGTCGCGGCACTCAGCATGCCTTGACACTTTTACCCCTTATTCTCTGGACAGAAATAGCCTGTGGTCTGGAGTCACATCAATTGTGACATGCTGAGAGAATTGTAGTGACCCGGGGAATACCTTCCGCGTTCCCAGGAGTAACAAAGCGCATTGGGTCCTCAATGCTGATTTTGCCATCAGAAAGTAAACCCCTGGATCCACCGAAGAGATCCCAGGAGCATGATGCGACCTATAGCTGGACGCTCTAGTCGGATGGACTGGGCCAAGGATTGGAGCCCTTCATAAAGCTGCCCTCGTGTCTCTTGGCCTTCTGCCAGGTTTCTCTCAATTTCACACCCTCTCACACTTCTTTTACATCATGGTTCGTTAAGTATTCTCACGACATATTGCCCATGGGAAACTAAAAAGATTAGTAGTCTCAAATCGAAGACTTGCCTCTAGAAATAGTGTTGATGATTGCCACATACCTACATGGTAGCGCAAAGTTCGCTCTTGCAAGATCAAGCAGAGAGCTGTACCACCTTCTACGAACCACAGTCCTTCAATTCAACATCGAATATCAGAACAGCAATCTTCTTGGCCTGGCCGCCAAAGATGACAATGTTGATCTAACGTTCATGTTGCTTCATCACGGAGCAAACGTCAATGCCTTCTTTCGTGCGAGAACCCCGGTCATGAGGGCTCTCAAATACTCTTCATCTGCAGTGCTCAAGCTTTTACTGGAAACTCCTAGGCTATATATCAATATTCAAAACCGAGAGCAGGAAAGCGCCTTATGGTTTGCGGTTACATATGGATCATGCTCGACGCTGCGGGCTCTCTTGGAATTGCCCGGCTGCGCAGTGAATCTCCGGCACCGACGAGGCCAGACTGCATTCCATTTCGCCGTATGGTGGGGCCGAATCGGCTTGGTGGAAGCGCTGCTCTCCAACGGTGGTGATCCCTACGCATACGATGTTTCTGGTCGCTCGCCATGGGATTGGGTATTTCAATACGATAGGCCCTCCATGAAGGCTGTGTTTTCCCGAGAGAAAAAGTATGTCCGGCCAATGTATGCTCACTCTGATGCGCCGGCGCTGCACCAGGCAGTCCCGCATGGATCAGTAGATGCTGTGAAGCTGCTCCTGGGGCGGAAAGGTCTTGACCTGGCGATTATCGACAGTGATGGTGCGATAGCCCTCCATCTCGCTGTCCGCAGTCGACGCTTGGAAGTGGTCGACCTCATTCTCCGGCATCCTCGAGTGGATGTGAAATTATAGATAATGACAGCAAATTCCCGCTTTGGTGGTCGACGTTTTTGTCATATTACGAGATTACTGAAAGGCTTCTAGCTGAGGAGGACATTGATGCCAACTTGATCGGTGGCTTCGGTCGGCTTGATACACCCTCGGTACCACTACACCATGCCGCGACTCGATCGAATATATTGATTTTGAAGCAGCTGCTTGCGACCCTAGGAATCGATCCGAACATCTGCGCTGCGAGACAGACCCCTTTTTCTGCCGCCGCCGCTGCGGGTAGAGTCAACGCAATGAAGATACTTTTGGGTGAGAGGGGTGTGGAAATCAATACAGGTAGAATTTTGATGGATCCTCCTCTATGCCAAGCGGCAGCGGGATGCCATGTGGAGGCTGTTAGATTATTGGTGCAGCAAGGCGAGCGGCTCAGAGTCAACCAGGGCACCTTGACAGTGCATGACACAGCTCTGGGGATTGCTGCTCGTGCGGGAAACCTGGAGATAGTCCGGGCTTTGTTGAAACACGATAAAATTGACCCTAGCCTAGAGAACCGATGGCTGGAGTCTCCGTTGGTGTTGGCAGTCAAAGGCGGATATGTCCTCGTCGTCGACGCTCTGCTGGCGGATCAAAGGGTGGATACGTACAGCTTACGAGAGGCACGAGCAATCGCGACGCACGATGGTATCCGAAGGGCCATTCAGTATGAGATGGATGATCGCAGAGCCCACTGTGAATGGATCAAGGCACACTGGTCCCTGGCATAGTGGACGCGGGTAGTCTGCCTGGACGGGTGCTGAGGTAGTGCTGCTTGAGGTACTGAATGTGGGCTACAGAAAAGTGCCGAACAGCATTGATACACGATGCGCAACGTGCACTGCAGCGTATAGCGAGCATGAAAGGAATATAACCATTGATCTCACAATACGTGGTGGTAACCAGATTGCCTTGAGCAGCTGCAGAAACTGCATTCCTCTTGCCACGGGGTTTTCAACGTCGTGCATCAAAGGTTAGATCGTGCGTGGACTGTCTGTCAACTCAACACGGGTGAAGAATGGCCCAGGATATTTGATGGCAGGGATTTTCTCTCCCAGATTAATATGCTCTATTTAAAATCTATGGAAAATCGCTCTGTTGTGCACGCTCAATTTTCTCCCATTCATCCCTAATGAATCCACTCGCGGCATCCTCTTCACCAGCCGACCGGCCAGCCAAGAGACAGCGAAGACTCTCCGAGGAAACTTGCAACGACCCGAAGGCAGAGGATATTTCACCCGCCTCATGCTCTACCGCAGTGAGCAGCCTCCCTACGACGCAACTTAAGCAAATCCTGCACCGCAATAGCGACCTCCTGAAGAAATTCGTGCAAGAGAAAAGTTTAAAAGTGACACAGTCGGAATAAGCTTTAGTAGTCTCGGCGTGGAATCATCACCGACACTTCAGCCGTTGAAACAGTGATAAATGAGATGTCGCTCAAACATATTTTTGCTACAGTAATACCACTGCATTTCAAGACGCATCAGCTCAGGTGGAGCGAACTCCCAATCAAACCCCTTCCTCATGGCTCAGCGAGTCGTGTATCTTGAAGGGGTAAATCCTGTAGCTTATAAGGTGCTTATTTTATCCATCACTTCTACAGTAACTCTAATTTAGATGATTAACTTCAGGCAAAAAGAATCGTCATATTCTTTCAGCTCACACACTAGCCATGTCAATCACACTCCAAATGTTGGCTCAACATGGGCCATTGAAAAGCGTTTACTACGGTACCGCAACAGTAATCATCCTAAAACAGATACTTGATTCGTGAGAATTTCGTGAGAACAAAACTCAAACTCTCATGGGTCTTTGCCCGCGCATTACCTGGAAATTATTCTGCTGTTGATTTACTTGATCAAAAAAGTGACTTTTCCTTCTCGGAAATTAATTGGCATGCGCTCCTCAATTTTTAATGATTATCAGAACATCCCGTCAAGCGAAACCGTTTAGTACCGTATCTTACTTGTCCTGTATTTAATATTATTACGGAAACTCTTGGAGGGTTGTGGCTGGTGGTAATTTATTGTGGCTAGAATTATTGATTTCCAGGGTATCAATAGTAGCAAAGAAATTCTCACGAGCGCTATTGAAATTCCATTCCTTGATCGTCTTCTTCACCGCTCTCAAGGTGGCATCCGCTTTCATTTTCAGCTCGCCAATCTTTGTTCCTTCAGCATTTTTAATAGACTCCGAGTGCGCGGCAGAGTTGGGAATATACTGTAAGAGTTTGAAATACATTGACAGAGTCTTAGAACAGCCAAATCCATCACAAGGCTCCAAGGACGCGAGTAGTTACAGATATTTGACTGGCATATGCTGCCCTGGCCGGTGTCAGTCCACCATGGGAAGGTACCGGTTCATATTTATATCGTTACAAACCAGCTAAGTCCTACTTTCCATTCAATCCCATTTGCCTATAATATCGGGCAATCCAATAGGCTGTCATTACACTCTTCTCCCGCTCCCGCTTCTCAATGTCTCGATAGGGATTCATTTCGATCTGTAGGGAGCTCCAACGGCAATGTCTTCCTCGAAAAATCAACCCCATCGGCTTCATGAATTAGCCTAGAAGCTGCCAGATGGACCTGTTCTCCTCTGACTCGCGTTCCCTGATGCCCATTGGCCGCGAGTTCGTGTCTTGCGGCCAACGTTCTTCTCCCCCACCAAAAACCCCCACCGGCCGCCGCGACCGCAAGGCATGCTAACGGGATACCCACTCCGAGCCCGACAGCGAGTTTCATCGATGAGCTTTCGCGACCGGCTTTTGAAAAAGAGGTGGTTGTGGCCGTTACCGTCGAAGCACCGGTGGCATCTGTGGAAGACCCAATTTGAACCAAGGTTGGGGCAACGGTAAACATTTTCTTCTCAGTGCAGCAGTCGTTGGTGTTTCCGCAACAAAAGGATCCATCAGGGCAGCGATTCAGTTGAGAAGTGTAGTCTGAGCGTCCTCCAGCCTAAAGACACGCCATGATTTGTCTTAGTTAAGGTCAAAGAGCTATGGAATTGCCGAAAGTAATATCTGGCTGGATACTGAGTGCTTTGAGCTTACATCTGCGTCACACATCGTCTTGGGCAAGCAGTTGGGAGTATCCCAGTCTTGTTTGGAGCACAGTGATCGATAATAACCTTGCTTGTTACCATCGCCTGCCTCATTATCCCAATAACACAGCCCGTTTGGCTGGCAGATGTCAGGATCGGTGTCATTCAACCTGCAACACATCGATTCGGTATTATCCATTGAGATACATGGCATGAATCTGGAATCAATCTTTGTTCCATCAGGAGCATAACACGATTGAGGCTCAGTGGCTATGGTGAATTGAAGCAGCAACAGCAGGGCTCCTGTGAAGAGGGCCGACCTGGCCATGACGGGTGATGGTGTGGCCCAACGTGGGTTTCCCGGCGGCTTGGGGATTTTTCTGGCGAGACTAAGCAGAGCCTCCGAATATATAGCCTATTCTGACCCGCTCTTCGCAGGTGACATTTAGGGGCGACCCCGTCGCCGAACAGTCAGGCAGGTACGGGGCGATGATTTTGCTCTGTGCCAAGGGATCGACATGCGCACCACTTTTCAGCGCGGCCAGATGCGACATGTATGCTTCGAATGATTGGATAGGAGGCAGCATCCTGTAGCGATCAGACCCTTGCGAGTCACAACCAGTCTTGCCTTGAATACATGTCGATCCTGTCAATTTCTTGGCAGGGTCATGGCGTCGCCTTTCATTGGTCTGCCCTTCATTTTTGCCCCCATCGCCAAGACACCAATTTGGCCTCTTCAAGAGGAGCCGGTTGGCGTTACTACCGATCAGACCCTAGATCGACTCTGATAGGCTAGGGCGTATTTCCCATGTCAGCCCCATTCTTGGCGCTACCGATCGACGAAATCGAGAGCCGAAAAACAAACCATTTGGGTAGCAATTTACTTGTAGTAGATAGAAGAAGCTCGCTTACATAGTCTCATATATCTCCAAATCTCCATGGAAGGAAAGACAATGATAGCTCGAGAGCGCGCTACAATTAGGTTGAATAGGATCGACATGATGCGAGGCTGAGAGGCTATGCTCAAGTGTACCCAAGCCCAACAAGCAAAGAGATTCAGGGGTCGCGTTCCTTAGGGATCTCCTACTGACTAGTCATGTAAGACTAGCAGCCTCGATTCTTAAGCGTGATGCCTAACCGTTCCTTAATACTATGAAAAGACTGACGCGCGGGTAACTATGCTACCATTAATCGGTATGTGTTACGCCAACCATACAATGAGGTATAGGAGATGCGGAGGAGGTGCCTATCCACCACCGGGGCCGCCTGTTGATACATCACCTCGCTTACCTGCTTCATACGCACACAGGCATCCCCTTAAAAGGAGGAGCTGGATCCTCTTAGGAGGACCAGCGATTAGTCTGAATATCATCATACCCATATCAGGCATATCTCACATTCTTCACTCGTATTCTTATCGTATCAGGACACCCTCCGGGGATTGTCCTGACACCAATGGTAACTCCAAGAAATCGAATGTAGCCAATTATACTACCAAAATATATGGATATTCGATCGATTTTATCTACTTTTATCTGGTACCACAACATGACTTGATATTCCAAGAAAGGAGTGGTGAATTTGAAAAAAAAACTAGAAATTCGATATGTTGTGGTCTCGCCACTAATTTACAATCCTCCATTATATCTATTTTGAGAGATTGACTGTGAGGCTGTGATGGCCGAGATTCTTTTGAAACTTGATGTCACAACAGGTCTTTGTGAATACCTTATTTTCCGTTTCTATAGGACCAAAAAGATCAAGGTCGTGATTGATGCCAGAATTGTGAGAACCTACACTATGAAGGAACAGGAAAACAGAAAACCGACCAACTAATAACTGTGGTTTGGGAGGCAGTATTTACCTTGACTGTAATAGACAAACCATCTCCATACGCAATATGATAGTAGATAGCTGACTTAACAAAGATGCGTCATATCTGCATATAATGGAGAAATCACGCCCACTCTGAGCAACAGGCGGGGCAAAAGGTACCACACCTGGAAAAGATGGCCCAAAGTATGGCGAAACAATACCACGATACTATCCGGAAGCAGAAGAAAAACGCTTGAATGACTTCCTTACAGAGAATGATAATATATGGAAAGCCGCTAGATATCTGAAGCTGGGAAAAGATGCAGCATTCGGGAAGGTCCCGCAGCTCATCAGAGTGGAAGGAACTGCTACCAAGATCATAAAGAACAAGTCGAAGAATTATTAGCTGAATTCTTCCCGTGCTTGCCGAATACAATTGGTAATGAAGGGATTAGACCGCAAAAGCACCCATAAAAATGCCTGTTATCACCAATGAATCTTGAAAGTGGCGCATGTTGGTATGTGAATGTGTTTTGGGAAGATACAAGGAATTCATTGAATTATTTTACCACTCATGACTTCCATGCTTAAGTTTGACTCGTATGGAGGCCTTCGATACCGCAGCTCAACCCTGATATCCTCAGATTGAATCTTCACGTTGACCCAGTAGGCTCGAGCAGATTCAGGAATAATATCCCTTAGCTTTACTCCAGTTGACTCTATATCAACCAGCTTTTTTAAGGCCATAGTTGTCGCAGATGTCCAGTAGTCATCTTCTGGTCGTTTGTAAATTGTATGGAAGATATCACGACGGACCTTCCAATGGCGACATTTGGCCGCAGACCATAAGAGCGCAGGCAAAATAGAATACCTGTAGCTAAACGGCGAAATCGGGATGTCACTTGAACTCGTGGCCGAGTCTGCCAGGGTTCGTGCAAGCTTCGTGATAATCTGAAACTGTTCCAAGTAATCATCGTAAATCATTTCATCTAATCGTTGGCTTTTAGCGACAGCCAGCTTAATTCCAATGACATCGATCAATAACGAGAAGACTTGGAGTAAATCGCAGTCCTCTGGCGCAATACAATCCAATTCAACGAGGACAGCTAGAAGATGACTTCTACAGAGCCGTAGCTGAGTCAAGATTAGTGCCACTCCGTGGTCGATAGAGCTTGCTGGTCCAATATGAAACCCACAAGTAGTGTAGTCCAGTATTGATCCCGAGACCAGGGTTGAAAATTTTTTGACAAGGTCCATCAGATCAACACCCGAAGAGAGAGGCGGGGTGATCTTTGATGAAGCCACGGTAGTGTTCAGGGATACCCGATACTTGTTATTGAGTTGTGCGGAATCCATAACAAATAACTCCGAAGAAGAGCAGAAGGACAAGTACACGTGCATCTGGGCAAAAGCCTGTCTCAGGGCCATACTAGTAGCGCCTTTATCTTGTTTATCATCCCATTCTTTGAAAAGTTTATGACCAAATATAAGGTGACGGTGAGCAGAATAGAGATCACCCTGGAATAGAGAAAGGAGAGTAAAAGTCAAACATGTGACTAACACTACTTGCTTGTCGGTGCGGCTTGAGCTGTACGGAGTAAGATCTCCCAGAGCGAGACTTTCTCGAAAACAAGCAATGGCTTTTGTAGAGTGCCGAAGAGTCAAACTGGGGTCCCTATCCTCTTGAGAGCTTGTTGGAATTCGTTCAAACTGGATATGCACGCACCCATAGCGATCGAAGCATGACGGACAGCAGGATGACTTTCGCACATTTGGAAAAGCAATCCTTGCCAGAATGAGTTTTGAAAATACTGCGAGAATCGTACTGCTGTGCGACTGTGGTAGAAATCCAGATACCATAGCTGGTTCCAGTTAAGGTCGATCTGGCAGGCACTTGCCAAAGGCAGAGTAACGGATGTGGCTGATAGCCGGACTGCCGAGAAATATCGGGTTCGGAGAGCTACATTGTTCTGGTTTTTGGTTTTGAATTCACGCCACTCGCGTGTCCTCTTATCAACGGTCCGTTCGTAACCGTCGCATTTCCTGCCTGTGCTCGTACATCTGAGACAAGCGGGATGAGTTTCGTCACATCTCTTATGTCTTATCCTTTACAACTTTTAGTTGCTGTGTGAGATCAAGATTTTGGGAAACTTACTTGCACGTTCCGCAGCCGGAGCGCGATTTGGAGTGCTGGGATCTTATTCTGTGCGGTGGATTTTCAGACATTCTCCTTACAAACAACTGTAGGGTCTGTATATCATCTAAAACTTTTATGCAGGTTCGGTATGTATCTCAGGTTATGAGGACAATCAGGATTAGCGGCACAAAAGGCCAGATTTGATCAGAATTGCGTTGGGGGCCACGCGATGACAATCACATGTAGCCTGTAGGTAGACCTCATCAAACGCGGGTTCGGTCGGGTTTTCATTTTTCCTACCTGTTCAGGACTGAGACTAGTCTCACCAGCTAGGACAAAATTCCGAGGAATCATTGAACGTGTCGCCGGAACTTAAATTGGCGCTCTGCTTCACAAGTCTGCGACTTGGCTTTAGAACTATTAAGATTTTTGGTTGAAAAGGCTCAAAACTCGCGACAGATTACGAAAAATTAGGAGAAATAGGCATTTCTTTATCTGGGCCGCCGCTACTGCAGACCACAACTTCCCAGCCTCAGCTTGACCCGCCACTCGATTAAACGTTTTGTCAGTATGAGGAATTAATGTACTGGCTAGTACTGAACATATCCGATAGAATCAGATTATTGATTGATTGTTAAGATCGGTTGAACGATCTCAGGGTCTCTATATTCGAACTATGGCGTGTTATGACACCATACTAGGAGCAAATTGGGTGAACGATGAATAAGCCGGTCCCGAAGGGTCTTAATCTGATTCTATCGGATATGTTCAGTACTAGCCAGTACATTAATTCCTCATACTGACACATTCCTCTTGTCGGAATATGCGGAGCTTTGTTTTGTCATACGTTGTATTTAGTAACGTGATTGTAATATTCGGTAGATAGATTGTCCGAGCTACCATACAAAATCGTATGGTAACGGAGACTTTCACAATTAAGACACCTTGCTATCTCATTCGTGTATGCTACTTAGGCCCACAGCTGCTCCGACACTATCTTTGCACTCAGACTCTTCACTCTTCACGTCCCTTGTTCTTCCTTCAATCCTGCGGAGCGCGTTCATCGTTACGATCGCACGTGATGCCAAGACCGCTGCCATCATGACCACCACCACGATAGTATCCACGAGCTTAACCGAGACAGGGAACATTCCCATAACAACCACTTTCACGCCTCCGTCTTCATGCGTCAGTGACTTGTGGCTCGGCAGTACTAGTGGAAAGACATGGATGAACCTGGGACCCATAGAACACACCGAGTGCCTTCCATCCGGGTGGGCGAAGGCTAGCTATTATTCCCCAGGAGTATGCCCCTCAGGCTATGGGATTGCCTACAGTAGCCTCTTGCTTGATGGGGCCACCACCCAGACCGCGGCAACATGCTGTCCAACGTAAGTCTAAATACTTTTTGCGAGTTAAATACCCCACCATGCCGCATCGAAGCTCAAGCGCCCGAAATCTTCAGACTCGACGGCCACACATATCAGACCCGACCGTCAGAATCATCAACCGCCTCTGAAATGATAGACTGCATATGGAGCGCAGGTCCCGATGTTGCCACCGTATTCGCATACACCTGGACCGAAAACGATACCACATTGAGCTCAAGCACCACGTTGAGCAGCAGCGAGCACGTCAACGCATACGGCGTCTATATCGCATGGCAGTCGACTGATTTCGGCACACCTGCAACGAATACCGCAACCACTACCAGCGCAGCTGCTACATCCTCAGATACCTCCACAGACTCGTCAGGCTCGTCGGGCTCGTCAGGACTCTCAACGGGAGCCAAAGCAGGCATTGGCATCGGAGTAGCAGCGGGAGCAATTGCAGTGATAGGACTCCTAGCGTTCTTCTTGATCCGACGACGACGGCCCAAAAACCAAGTCCCCCCGCCAATCGAGATGTCAACAGAATCACAATCTACACCACAACGATACGTCGGGTTGCCTGCAGAGAGAGGGATGGCGGAATTGGACTCCAATAGCCCGGGAAAATATGAGTTGGACTCCGATAACCTGAGATAATACCAGATCCGCTAATACTCGACGGTTTTTTGAGGACAAAACTGTTAGATAACATACTCATACTCATACCTTAGCGTGTATATGGCTCGAATTTCTGCCTGGAGTTGTTTAAACGGAAACATAGCATTGTCTTATTCCTATCTCGTTTGATTAATTGCTCTCAATTATTCACTCCGCTCAATTGTTCGCGCAGCCTATTGAGTCCCTTCGCTCAATTACTTCTCCTCGATATTCGCCTGCAACATATACCTCAATGCCATTGCATTTCAATTAAACAAGAAGCGCATATATGAATCTCGCGGAGCCTGTCAAAAAACTATTCTTATTTTGATATGTCGCCACCTCCGTATGATACTAGCAAGCCTGACTTTCTCAGGAGGGGACGAAATATAAAACGGGGTAGACCAACACAGAGATATTGTGTACAGTACCCTGGCTGAGACCTATTTCCGGAAGTACTGTACCTTCCTCTAGTTTCGAGACGCATTGTATCCGGGGAAAAGATTTTCACGATCGACTGTAGCCGCCGAAGGAAGACTGTACTCGTTTCAATACGTCAAGGAAGACTATTTCTTGGAGTACGAGCGTGCCACGTGGCGACGGAATCGATTTTCAATAATGGCGGGACGGGCCGCGATGCGAACCCCTGAACCGCCCGACCGCGACGAACTCGAAGATTCACCACCACGATTGTTGAGGCCGAGACGCACTACCAGACGACCCAGTAATTATGCTCGGGATCAAGAGATCGACAACGAGCAGAGGACGACACGCTCTCGACTGAGGAAGAAAACCCAAGACAAGCCAGTAACCCAACATGACGGGGTCACTTCAGACGACTCCGCGACGGAGAGCGAGGACCTCAACACCGCCACACTCGTGAAGGAGCTCATCAAACTCAGGCGAGAGATCAGGCGACGTGATAAATTGCATAAGGAAGAGATTCAGAAAGTTAAAGAAGAATTTAGCGCCGCCCTCACCGAAGTTCGACACGAGCTACAGACCCTGACAGATAGACCCCCGACACCGCAATCCCACACCGACGCATACGCTCAGGACAGCCACGATGAGATCCTCCGCGAAATTCATTCCCTTCGCGATACCATCAGCCCTGCCGTTCCCACTGGCTCCCCGTCCTATGCAGATGTCGCCCGTACTCCCCCACTCAGTCACCCGAGCAACATACGAACGCTTTCAACATCGATACAACACCAACCACGTTCACCGACACGTTATATTGCACAGTAGACACCTCGAAGATGGCAGAACATGAAAACGAGAGGATGTCCGCTGGCCCAATCCGGGCGGCGGTTGAGACAGAGATCCGGACCATGGAAGGCCACATGCACTGGCGCTGTTGCGCTGTCACCGTGGACCCGAAGAATATCAGCCAAATCAGAATAGCGTGTCGCGATGAAGACGAGCACCAGATGGTCAAGAAAGTGGCATAAGCCAAGATCGGCGCGGGAGCTCGGGTACTCCGTGACGAGCTCTGCCCGATCAAAGTTGACAGCGTCAACACGGCCGCCGTGCTAGAGACGAAACAGATGAGATCCGAGCCGAAGCCGCGGCAGCCTTCAGCGAAGAGGATGAAGCTACCGTGGCTAAGATCGCATGGCTAAGCAGAAAGGATAGTGCGAAGCCATATGGGTCTACGGTCGTGTATCTGACCAAAGTCACTTACGCACGGAGGCTCCTGGCAGACGGGTTCTTTCACGCTGGGGGAGAATCTGGCGTGACCAGCACTTTTGAATATCGACCACGGCCGATGCAATGCTACAACTGCCAGGAAATTGGCCACAAGGCATTCCAATGCAAGAACACCCAGAAATGTGCAAAATGCGCCGCGGAGGGCCACCGCCACAGTAGCTGCGACCAGACGGTTCCGAAGTGCATTCCATGTGGGGGCCCGCATGAATCGTTCAGCAGAAACTGTCGGAAACTCTATCCATCACGACATGAATAGACCTTCCGAATCATCCAACTGAATGTGAGAAAACAGGGAGCAGTGCATGAGAGTCTCATGAACAACGAAGATACTCAAGACGCAGTGGTACTAGCGATTCAGGAACCCCAGGCAAGGATGATTCAAGGCCGGCTCTTAACAACCCCGATGGGACATCACAAATGGACCAAGATGGTTCCCTCCACCTGGAGCGAGGACCGGTGGGCGATTCGAAGCATGCTTTGGGTCAATAAGGATGTGGATGCGGAACAAATGCGGATCGAGTCGCCGGATCTGACAGCGGCGGTCATCCCGACTTCCCGAGCATCTGATATTTATGGAATCAGTCTACGTAGAGGGCGAAGATACCTCAGCGTTGGACGACGCATGCGATCGTCTCATAAAAGCGATCACCAAGGTACGGCGAGACGCGGGAACAGTGGTGGAGATCATGATCGTGGGAGACTTTAACCGCCACGATCAGCTCTGGGGAGGAGACGACGTGTCTTTGGCAAGACAGGGAGAGGCGGATCCAATCATCGACGTCATGAGTGAGTTCGCTCTCTGTAGCCTGCTCAAACGACGCACGAAGACATGGCATGGTGGAGGGCAGAGTGGGGAGTGCGAGTCCACAATCGACCTCGTCCTGGCCTCAGCCAGCTTCGCAGACTCGATGGTCAAGTATGCAATGCGCGGAACGGAGCACGGCTCGGAACACCGCGCTATTCAGACCGTTTTTGATGCCCCATGGCCATATCCACAGCATCCGGAACGACTTTTGCTGAAAAACGCGCCATGGAAGGTTATCAATGCCCGGATTGCGACGGCGCTCGCCGTCACCTCGTCAGAAGGCACGGTGCAGCATAAAACCGACCGACTCATGTCTGTGGTGTAGGAGGCGGTGCATGCTTTGACGCCGAGGGCCAAACCGTCGCCACACGCAAAGCGATGGTGGACGGTGGACCTAACACAACTCCGCCAGATGTACACATATTGGAGAAACCACGCCCGCTCGGAGCGACGGGCAGGGCGAAAGGTGCCGCATCTGGAGAACATGGCCGCGAGTGCAGCGAAGCAATACCACGATGCAATACGGAAACAAAAGAAGAAGCACTGGAATGAGTTTACAACGATAATATATGGAAAGCCGCAAGATACCTAAAGTCGGGAGATGATGCAGCATTCGGGAAGGTCCCACAGCTCCTCAGGGCGGATGGAACTATGACCGCCGACCACAAAGAGCAAGCGGAGGAACTGCTGACCAAATTCTTCCCGTCACTGCCGGACAGAATTGACGATGAAGGGACCAGGCCGCAGAGAGAGCCCGTGGAGATGTCTGCCATCACTATGGAAGAGGTCGAACGGCAGCTGTTGGCGACAAAGTCTTGGAAAGCACCAGGTGAAGATGGCCTACCAGCGATAGTGTGGAAGATGACGTGGCCCGTGGTCAAACACGGGGTCCTGGAGCTGTTCCAAGCGTCGCTGGATGAAGGCACATTGCCCAAGCAGTGGAGACATGCGAAGATCATATCGCTCAAAAAACCGAACAAAGAGAACTATACGATTGGGAAGGCCTGGAGGCCGATTTCACTCCTCGCGACACTGGGCAAGGTGCTGGAATCTGTCATCGCAGAAAGAATCTCACACGCGGTGGAGACGTACGGCCTGCTTCCGACCAGCCACTTCGGGGCCCGAAAGCAGCGGTCCGCAGAGCAAGCACTCTTATTCTTGCAAGAGCAAATCTACGCGGCGTGGCGCGGCCGACGGGTCTTAAGCCTGATCAGTTTCGACGTTAAAGGAGCTTACAATGGGGTCTGCAAGGAACGGTTGCTCCAGAGGATGAAAGCGCGAGGGATACCCGAAGATCTACTTCGGTGGGTTGAAGGCGTTCTGCTAGGAGCGAACGGCGACCATCCAGATCAATGGGCAAGCATCTAAGGCCCAAAGTCTCCAACAGGCGGGGCTACCTCAGGGATCACCCCTGTCCCCGATCCTATTCCTCTTCCACTCGGATCTCGTACAACGACAGATCGACGGCAAAGGAGGAGCGATTGCCTTCGTGGATGACTTTACCGCGTGGGTGATCGGACCGACGGCGCAGAGTAACCGAAATGGTATTGAAGCGATCGTCAATGAAGCACTCGACTGGGAAAGGAGAAGTGGAGCGACTTTTGAAGCAGAGAAAACTGCTATTATTCACTTCGCCCCTAAGGCCCACAAAACGAACTCAGAGCCATTCACTATTAAGGGAGAGACCGTTGGACCCATAGACCATGTCAAGATTCTTGGTGTCTTAATGGATACGAGACTCAAATACAAGGAACATATCGCGAGGGCAGCGTCTAAGGGACTTGAGGCGACGATGGAGCTGCGACGGCTTCGTGGTTTATCCCCCAAGAGCGCGGCAATCATTCACGTCGACTGTGGCCCGGGTGGTGGACTATGCCTCCAATGTCTGGATGCACGCTTTCAAGAATAAGAACATCGGACCGATCAACCGAGTACAAAGGGTCGGAGCACAATAAATTGTGGGGACATTCCTCACAGTTGCGACCAGCGTAGCGGAGGCCGAGGCCCACATTGCCACGGCACGACACCGATTCTGGAGACGAGCCGTGAAGATGTGGGTAGACATCCACACACTACCAGTGACTAATCCTCTTCGCAGAAACACAGATCGGATCAGGAAGTTCAGGAGGTACCACCGCTCACCATTATATCAGATAGCGGACGCGCTGAGAAACATCGAGATGGAATCGCTGGAAACCATCAACCCGTTTACGCTGGCACCATGGGAGGCACGCGTGCAAACGGATGATGAACCCATGCCCGAGACATCGACAGTGCCAGGCGGGTCAATGCAAGTCGCGTTCAGCAGCTCGGCGCGGAATGAGCTGGTCGGGTTTGGAGTGGCGATCGAGAAACAACCGCCTCGCTATCGGAAAGTGAGATTGAAGGTCTTGTCCCTCACCCTGGGAGCGAGAACAGAGCAGAATCCATTTTCCGCGGAGCTAGCGGCAATAGCGCATACATTGAAGACACTCGTGGGACAGAAGGATTTGAGGATCATACTGATCACGAGCAACAAAGCGGCGGTACTCACGTTGAAGAACCCGCGACAGCAGTCGGGCCAGGAGTTTATCTGTCAAACCTACAAGCTGATGAGAAGACTGCAAAGGCATGGAAATCGGATCAGCGTCCTGTGGATTCCCACAAAGGAAGACAACCATCTGCTAGGTCTGGCGAAAGAACAGGCCCGAGCCGCAACACAAGAAGACGCCGTTACGCAGAAACAGGTCCCTAGGATGAAGGCGACCACTCTGAATCTTGCGCGGTCTCAAGCTGCCCCAGAACATCGGGAAACATTCCAGACGAGTGGATGCTGCACTTCCTGGAAAACACACGCGACTGCTGTATGACAGACTATCGTGGAAAGAAGCGAGCGTGCTGGCCCAGCTCCGCACGGGCATGGCAAGACTCAATGGATATCTCTTTCGAATCAATGCCGCCGAGACAGATCAATATGCATGTGGACAAGCAAGAGAGACCGTGGACCACTTCCTCTTTCGCTGCCGGAAGTGGACCGCACACCGGACAGAAATGCTGCAATGCACCCACACCCTTCGAAGCAATATATCCTTCTTCCTAGGTGGAAAATCGCCCTCTGATGATCAGAAGTGGACACCGAACTTGGAAGCAGTGCGAGCCTCGATACGATTTGCCATCGCCACGGGCCGGCTCGAGGCCACCTAGGCTTGCCGACAAATTGATAGAATACCCCTTCTTACTAACCCCCAAGACCTTGTGACAGACGGTAGACGCGCTTCAACTGCCGAGGATAGGATGTTGAACATTTGAAGAAGCGCCTTCAAGCAAGTCTACCAACCAATACTCACCCACAGGGACCAGCTATGAGATTGGAAGTGGAAATGACAAATACGGAAGGGAATACTGTATGGGCTCCAAGGAGACACGGCGTATACCCAAACATGCATGTACTGGTAGATTAGTGATAGTTGCCCTTTCGGCTCAGCCGCCGGGCGTTAATGAATTGTGTGTGTGTGAAGTAGTTGGTCGATGTTTAAACAGAGCACGTACGGCTACTTTTTGTCTTCTTGCAGGAGCTCCAGATGACAGGCAATATTATGCTCCAAGGCTCTGGGTGTGCTCCCTCAATCATACTCCGCGACGGGTGTCAGTATCAGCGATGACAAGAGATGCACTAGTTGGGTATTATTTTGCCAGCACTTCTGCCAAGACACCATCCCAGCACACTAATGGAAAATTTGGCTGCCAACCGATACACTTCCTTCGCACAGACTGTTGACATATAGGTCCCCCCCGAGAGAACACATCGAAATGCAAGTAGGCGCTCCTTCTGTCCCCGATTCGCGTCATGACAAACCAAACCGACCCGCGGTGTGAAGCGCTTGGTGTAAGAAAGCACTGCAGTCTAAATATATGGAGGTTAACAAGGTGTTTTACCCAAGAAGATCACTAGTCTGGCGAGGCACTCGTACATGTTCTATATTATCATTAATTCCTGCTTTCCATGCTGTTATCAAACTAGCATAGCCCGATGCGGTGAATGCGGGAAGGCAGGAATTCAATGTGAAAGACAATTAAGCTATAGCTAATGTATCGTCGCGTTCTGCAGCATACAAAAGACAGTGGACGAAGATACAAGAGAAAGAGAAAGATCGAAAGAAAATAAAGATCGAGAAAACGGCAGGAACCGAAAGAGAAAGATGTACAACATCAGAGACACGACCCGGGCAGCCACTGCTGATGCGGCATTAACTACGCAAGACCTTTTCAATAATCCAGGCATGTTGCATCAGATTTTCATCCTTCATAGTTCTGCCAATCAACTGAATGTGACATGGTGCCCCTTCGACTTCCTGGGGTTTATCTGTGATCGCTTAATAGCTGCATCCTCTGGGCGGGCATGGAACTTACACTGTGGCGTGTACGGGACGTCTCGCACAAATTGGGCGTCTTCGGCTGCATTTGCCATTCCAAATGGCATGACACAGGCTGGGGTCTGCACACAAGTTAAGATGAAGACCGATTGTTTGGTGGGGATCCCACGTACATTGAAGAGATTGCAGAAGACTGTGTATGTGGCCACACCATACGTGTCATGCGGAACAGCACAGCTTTGGTAGGCTGGGCCAATGATGACATCCACCTTCTTATTCACGAATGCCTGCCTCATTTTCGTGGTAAGCTTGGATTTCCTCACATTCAGCTCGTACAGCTCCGGCAGCTGGGGCGTTGGAGCGGCATTATCAAGATCATATGTGGCCTTGAGGGATGGGATAAAGGGTTCACCACCGTTGGTGACGTGGGTCAATGCCGTGCGATCAGGGTCCATGTTAAAGAATCGAAAAGCTACCTCCTTTGCTTCAGACACGGATGGCATATGCTGTGAAACATCAATCACCTCATGACCTGCAGCTGACAGCTTAGCCACTGCATCCCTCAGAGCACGCTGCATTGGAGGATGAAGAGGGTACATGGTATCCTCCGGTAGCAAACCTACCCGGAGGGACAATTCCTGGCAGGGTTCATTGTTCCATGGGACGCCCAGCGCATTATCATCCATATCGGCCGCATTCGAGTTACAAGCCACTTTCAGCAGCAGTTCGGCATCCCGGACCGAATGACACAGGGGACCAGCGCAGGGGAGAAAGCCTGCCATCCCCGGCCTCGCAGCAGATGTAATACCGCCATAGGGGACACGACTTGCAGAGGGCTTGAAGCCCACAAGCCCACAGCATAGCGCTGGTACACGAATGGACCCAGCGATGTCTGTTCCGATCCCGAGCAGCGATCCTCGCATGGCAAGTAGCGCTCCTTCGCCACCTGTACTGCCGCCGGCCGTGAGATTCAAGCGATGAGGGTTCAGTGTCCGACCAAAGACATTGTTGTGCGTGTCCAAGGTCATCATAGTCTGAGGGATATTGGTCTTCACATATAACACTGCTCCAGCCGCCAGCAGGACATCCACGAGGACGGAATTGGTGGATTGCGGTGGCCGCTCGAGGAAGGATACAAACCCCATAGTAGTCGGCACATCCATAACATTGAAACATTCCTTGAGGCTGACTGGGAGTCCGTGAAGCGGGCCCATTGTCTTCCCCGTCATGGTCAAATGCTCATCTAGTTCCTGAGCTCTTCGGAGGGCTGTATCGAAGAAAGTCTCCGTCAGACATGAGGTCACCTGTTGGGCAACCGCTGCACGCTTGCAGAATGCAGTCGTAACCTCTACTGCACTGAACTGGCGAGACGCAAGCTGCTCGAGTAAGGCAGTTGCGTCAAATTCTTCAGTAATATGGAGCTCTCTTTCCGATAGGATACCGCAATGGCGCGGAATGTCAAGAACCGATTGTGAAGTATCCTGCAGTTCCTCCAGGTAGGAGGAGGGCAAGCGCCAGTCTAGTGGGGTTTTGTTCCTAGCCTGAGCTATTCTGTGCTCGACTTTCTCCTGCCATGTAGACTGTGCCATTGTTATGCCACGTATGCCAGCGCGGTAAAAGAACAGAGGGAGAATTCGTGGGGAAGAACTGCCGACTGTGGAGTTGGACCAGCAGTCAAATGAAGGGGACAGCGTCGGAGTCTTTATACCAGAACCTTGGACCTTGATGTCTGGCTAAACCCCAATCGCATTAGGGGCACCATGTCGAGCTACGGGGACTTTGGCTCTTACTTTATTGCGGTGCTTAATACGTTTCTGTAGCATCTGATGCGAATACGGCGCCAGCATCGGGTGTATACGGGAGTTGGGCGAAATGTGGTCTCCGACTCTGACTGTGCCGGGGCTGTTATGCTACATACAGCATCGTGCAAATACATGATCCAAATTGCTGATACTCGTGTACAGTACCCGAAATCTTTACAAAACTCGAGCCAGCTCGCCCTTCCGCTTTACGCTGATATCTCATGGAGTGAACTCTCCGCTTTGTCAGCGGCATGTTAGTACTCTCCGCCTATCAGCATGACGGTATCGACGACCCCGGAGTCAGTGCTTATCAACCACACCGTGTGGGAACAGCAACACGGCCTCTACAAATGATCTGGCTTATCAGGTTACTCCGCTCCCCGCTGTGCCACAGCAGTGTAGTCAGCGAGTCTCCAGGATCCACCACATACAGCCCGTTCCCTGGTGGGAAGCCATTCGCGCAATGCTGCATCACAGACCCCAACAACACCAACCGCGTGGCTACAACCTGGCGAGATGGCCCAGGAGACTAGAGAAGGAGAGCCACTGGCAAAACGGCGACGCACCGCTTTGGCATGCAGCGCATGCCGCGCGCGGAAATCCAGGTGAGCAAGTCCCTGTTGTCGGCAGGCTGGATATTGTGCTGAAGGGGCAACGGACAGATGCGACGGGGGGAGGCCGTCATGCTCAACTTGCATATCCCTGACAATCGAGTGTGTGTATGAGCCTTCCGACTGCTCAGCAAATGTTCTGGTGCGCAAGGAATATGTCGCGGGCCTGGAACAGCGGCTGAGATACGTCGAGAGCAAACTGCAACGACATGATGACTTATTAACAGGGCATCTTTCTGTATGTGCAACAGACAAAGACGACAGATATGATGCAGTACTGGGCAGATCTTCGAGCATCAGCACCGTTCAACAGGTACAAGATGAGGTTTCCTTCAATGCAGTCAATGGAGGGGACCCAGGGCCGGACGACACCAAGACAGATGGCCTTGCCCTTGGATTTGTTGACGAACCGACCACGGTGTTTTACGGCGACTCATCCAGTATTGCGTTCACACGTTGTCTTCTAGAGGCTATGGCTCTGGATTTGACCGACAAGCGGACTGAGACGAAGGGGCAATGCAATGAAAATGGGTCTAGGGAGTGCAACGTCGCGCCGGTGTCTCGACAACAATCGGCCATGGTGTCTCCTAAGAATAAGACTCAGCCTGTGTCGCCTACCACCCTTCTGTCCGAAGGAGAGATGGATGTCTTACTGGACATCTACTTCAAGGACTATGGCTCTCTGTTCCCTTTTCTCCATGAACCGACATTTAGGGACGCCTATACTGAATACAAGGCAAGCGGTTTTGCCAAAGCTCAGAGGGGCTGGCTCGGTGTGCTTACCATGACCTTTGCAATGGCGATGCACATCAATCAAGATGGGAAGACCTCGGCAAAGTATCGATTCAGGCGGTCCCATGCGCTGTTTCAACAGGCGGTTTCGCTGTGCAGTGAATTGTCAGTGCGAACTGCGAGCTTAGACATTGTACAATATCTCCTGCTGGCGGTACTTTATCTTCAAGGCACCCAAATGCCAATCCAAGCATGGACGATGCATGGGATGCTCGTACGAACAGCAATGGCATTGGGAATGCATTCAGAGCAAGCGGCACAGGGGCTTCACCCCATACAGCAGGAGATCCGTCGGCGTACCTGGCTCACTATATACTGTTTGGATAGGATCCAGAGCGTCACATGGGGTCGCCCGCCGGCAATCCCAGATGAGTATATCGTGGTGAAGTTGCCATCGCCGTGGGCGAGAATGAAGGAAACGACCACAAATCATTCGACTGACGGAGACATCTACACGGCGTTTTTCGATGCTACTGTGCGTCTACTCCAGGTCGTGGGTCGGTCCTTAGCCACACAATACGGCCAAAATCTCGGACTCGAGGATCACAAAACAGATGAGTGTACCGCTATCCAGGCGGCAAGCACGATGCGACAGGACCTTCGGCGATGGGCGTCCAGTTTACCATCATGTCTGAACCTGTATGATACTGGATTGGATGCCACCTCGCCGGATGAAAATACAGTTTCAAGTCGACTGCGAGTCATCCTTACACTTCGATATCATTTTGTCAGCATTCTTATCCATCGCCCCCTTCTCTGCGCCACGCTGCGTTATTTGACCTCGAGCGGATCTCCTACAGGGAGAGCATTACCTTATAGAATCCAGCTTGCAGTGGCAGAGGCCCACGAGTGCATACTCTCCGCTGAAAACACAATCGAAATAGTACATGCAGTCATCAACGCGCCCTCCCCTTCTCACACTAAATTAGATGTCTGGTTCTTCACGTTGTTCCATGGTATGTGATCCCCCTGTAGGCTGGGCATGCATATGTGGATTGTGACTGAATAACTGATTGCGTTAAGTATTTAACTCGGCTTTGGTGATCCTGGGACGCTCCGTGTTAGAACAGCATGGAGCCTATGTCAACGACGATGTCACCCAGAAACCTGTTCAGAGCCTTTTGAGTCAAGTTATAGAAGGCCTAGATGAGCTAGACAACGAGAACCATTTGGTGTACAATTGTGCAAGGTTCATCGCACGGCTCTCTCAACCACAGAGTGACAAAGGTTAGTGGTATTGGAACATCTTGTATCACAGTGTTGAAGGCTGACCCGACAGGATATCGCCCCCAAGTGGCCAATCGAGATAGTACCGGAAATCGGTACACCGCGCAAACAGAAAATGAAGAGCCCACGGACGAACAAATCTGGTCTGGCGTTGGACTTCCATCTATAGCAGACCCAAATATGTTACCATTCCCCAGCGGCGAGCTATTCGATCATCCCTTTGGCGACTTTAGCTTGGGACTTGACCAGCTAAGCTCCACCTACTAAGACATTGCCTACAGATGTAGGCCCAATGGTACCCACAGCAGTCGCCAGTCTCCGATAAACTCAGCTATCCAGGAAAATTAACCTGTTAGCCTTGGATTCGAATATAGCTAAACAAGCCCTAGTCCAAAAGAAGACATCTAAATGAAAACTTAACTTGTATCTCCATAAGTACATATTTGGCATGATACATAGTAGGATTATAGGACACAGTATATATGTTAACGTTCTGAGTGTGTAGATGGGGCTGGAACTCAATATGAACTCGTATTTCAAGAAAAGCATCAGAATGAAATAGGTGGACAGGGAATAGGACCGGTCTTTATGAAGCCACTATTGGCGTCAGAAACTGTGATTTCTGGTGTCACATTTTCGCCCTGGAAACTCCAATCGAGGCTCTGTTAGCATGAGGATCTGGACCAGCCACGCAAACACTCTCCTTTATTACATGTAAAACAGCATATTTTATCAGGGCCAACTCACTTGTTCAATGCCGCGTCCATTTTCTTACAGGCGGCGTCAATGTCTGCCTTCAAATCATGGAACCAGATCCATTCAAACCAGTTCTTCTGCAGTTTCGATGCGATGCTCTCAATCCGTTTGCCTGTTTCCGGGTGCCGGTAGTGAAGCATGTCGCTCATTTCATGTGCCCTCTCTAATTGTCTCTGAGCCCTCGGTCGTCGAATAGCATCATACGCGGCAAAGCCAGCGCGAATATATGGTGCCAGTGCTGCAACTTGGTCACGATCGTGGTATATGGTCGCCAGAAGGTTGCAGAGTATCAAAGAATCCTCCAAGCCCTGACCCGCACCTGCGGCTTGGAATGGCAGAGACGCATGGGCGCTGTCGCCCAGAAGCACGACGCGATCACGATAATATGTCGACGTGTGGCGATGATAGAAGAATCCCCACTTCACCGGTCTAGCCTTCTTCAACAAGCGTCGGAATCGCTCGTCTACACCGGGGCCTTCGAAGTCAGCCAGCATGACCTCCTGGGTGATCTGCTGTGAAACCGCGTTCTTGAGCTCCCAGGGCTTATCATCCAGGGCACAGAGGAGGAAATTGAATTCCTTGAAAACGTCCTTGTTTAGCGCAGAACCCAATGCTAGTGGGATGACAAACTCACATCGCCCTTAGAAATCAGATACGTGACGCAACAGAGCCTTTCGCCCACATACATCTTCGCCACGTCGGTGAGATCCCCAAAGATTTCTTTGGCTTCCGACGTTGTGATTACGCCTCGGTAGCAATAAGAGTTGGCATAGACCGGCTCGACCTGGCTAGGATACAACGGTCTCAAGACGTGCTCCCTCACGGTACTCTTGATCCCATCGGCGCCGACTAGGATACTGGCCTCAGCAACGTCGCCATCTGCAAATTTCAAGATGACTTTGTCCGACCGCTGCTGAATCTCCATCAAGGTTTTGCTGAAACGGACCTTCTCGGCCGAGATGAAGGTGGTCATGATTTCAAGGACCGCGTGACGATGGGCCTGGTTAATGTCAGTGCTGTTCACGTAGTTGAATGACTTGAACGTAGACGGGGAGTGACGGACACCTCTGCGAACGTAGTCTGGGTGGCCCCAGGCTGTCTTGCCGCGCCATGATTCGTTAAGACCTATAGCAGCCAGTATGAACGAGAGGTCTTTCCTCATTGAGGGCACAGGAAACCGAGGAGCTGTGCATACCAAGACCCGGCTCCAAAAGCATGCCTTCATAGTAGATATCTTGAGGCTCACCAGGCATATTGCCCACGCAGACCTTATCGTACTTTTCGCGGAACCCTTCTTGCAGCATGTCCAATGCCAGATCGCCATTCGGGCCGAAGCCGATGCCCGCGCTGAGTCTGGTGTCAAAGAAAAGAACTCTTGTCTGACTATGATGAGTCTGGACTTACCCTACAGCGGAAAACTCTTGGGCTGCTTCATAGATCGTATAAGGCACTCCTCTCTTTTCCAGGCCCATGGCCAGGGCGAGTCCCCCAATGCCGGCGCCTAGAGTCGGTCTGGAATCAGCACCGTGAATGGTCGACCGATGGATGGCATGGAGACCTACCGACGATGGCCACATGCAAGTCTCTGATAGTATCGCCGCTCATGGTGGGAGAATGCTAGAGTCTGCGTTTGATGCGACTGTTCATGACGATCCCTCGCCACGGGCAAGTTGCGATATATACTAAATCTGGTACCATGTTATCTGCAGGGTTGTTGCTGGCTAGGAGCGCTCCGTCCGCATGTCCCGCATCAAGAGCTGGCCTGATTCCCCTGATTTCCCTGATTTCCCGGGAGGGTCACGATCGCCGGGGAGATACGCCCGCGCTCGGTTCGCAAAGCGTTGTCCCGAAGATGCCCCGGCGATCCGCACCCACGTCGCCGAAGACACCGCAGTCTAAAAACCCTCATTTACAGGGCTGAGTCCAGGTAGTCACCCTAGTCTTACCCCTGTTCACCAGCCAGATATACAATGGATGCGCTAGAAGATCCTGTTCTTGCCCAGCCGGTCGGGCTTTGCTGTCTGAAAGGTTCCATCCATTCGGGAGAGCCGGCAGGCAAGATCGTGCAGATTGGAGGAGTGGACACCTACGTGGCCACACCAGACAAGACAACGTCCAACGGACATGTGCTCTTGTTCTTCCCCGATGCTTTTGGCTTGCACATCAACAACTTCCTCACGATGGATGCGTTTGCTGCGTGCGGGTATCTGACCTTGGGCGTCGATTATTTCGCCGGGGTAGGATTGCATAGTTAGATGGACCCTTGCATAAACGGCGGTAACTTATGCTATGTGCCTAGGACCCCATTTGGAAGCATTCCCAAAACCCGTTGAATGATCCGAACTTCGACTTCCAGAGCTGGAAGAACAAGCATATGAGCTCCACCGACCGCGTTGCTGCCAAGTGGGCAAGAGACGTCGAAGCGGAGTATGGGCCGAACGGGGAAGTCAAGTTCGTTTGCGCAGGGCATTGGTCAGTTACATGATGCCAACCCGGCAGGGTAGAAGCTGACGTATGTTATTAATTATCCAACAGCTGGGGAGCGCGGTTCGTGTGTGGCCAGCTGTCCAAGGACGGATTCTGCAAGGCTGGTGCCATCGCCCACCCGTCATTCATGAATGAGAGCCATGTGATCGGCATTGATGGTAAGACTCATTTCAGTGGAGGCTAAGATCCTGCTGACCAGTGTAAGCGCCTATTCTGTTTTCCGTGCCGGTCACAGACAGTCTCTTCATGCCGGAGCAACGCCGTCGGGCCGTTGAGATCATGACGGAAGGAAAGAAAAAGTACAACATGCAGATCTTCTCCAACGTCGCACATGGCTTTGCAGTAAGCTGGTTCCAATAGTCCTTGCCGTCTAGGCGCCTGCTAAGACATACATCTAGTCGCGGGCATTTTTGTCCGATCCATATGAGAAATGGGCGAAAGAGCAGAGCTTCAAAAGCTTCGTCCAGTGGTTTGACTTCTGGCTCTCTGTATCGTAGAGTGATCACTCTGGAAGTTTACATTCACCTGTACATATAAGAAGTTTTATTAAGGCACCATGAATATTCATATAAAGAAAGCCGCGTCCAATAACTTGAATCCAACGGACCTCAGAATGCCGAGAATTCATCCGCTATCGCATGGTATGTATGGAGGTCCTGCTATCATATCACGGACCGATGCCGCGCTGCTTGTGCTGTAACTTGGATATGGCACTCACACAAATGCCAGTGAGTTCCGCGGTAAAGCCGTCAAGGTACTGCAGGTGAACGACTTCGCCGACAGTCAATTTTCGGATAGGGATATTGCGGATCAAACCGGGGACATTCTGCAGTAAATCCATATTTTGCGTGGTGTCGAGGTCGCCAGGGTTTGAGATAATGTTGCAGAAAAGCGTCAAGACTGCGGTGATGGCATAAAAGAGGACGACCCTGGTGCAAGACACAACCGTCAGTGGATGACAAAATGAGCGGAAATTGCTAAACCCATACCAAAAGCACTCCGGGTTCACCATAGGTAATACCTTGTGGAGATATAAGAGCGTCGACCGACTGGCGGTGATAGAAAGTTTTGTGCTGGAAGCGATGACATCCAGTCTCGGCCCAGCGAGATCAGCGACCGGAATCTGACATCTGCTGCTTGCTTGATGGATGACGGTCACGCAATGGTAGTAACCAAGCCGCAGGATCACCGCCATGGTATTCACCTTGGCACTCACTGGTGTTTCCTGGAAAAAGTATAGAGTCGGTCGGAACTCAACGGGGAGCGATAACCTCCACTGTTCGAGTGCCTCGTCGAGGCTGCGGATGCTCGACAGCAATTCGGAGATAGACTGCTGGAGAGCATGAGCAGTATAAAGGTCCTCGTACACCTTTGATTTGAGCATCGAGAGACGGAGATCCCATGGGAACAGGGGAACTAGATGTTCGTCGACCTGTGGCAAGCCCTGTTGGAGATTGAGGTCGTGTAGCCGCACGTAATCGGCAGGCATGGTAAGGTCACAATGCGAATCATTGATACAGGACGGCAGGCCCGTTCTCAGACATATGTCTTTGTCAAACGAGTAACAGAGCCAGAAGAGATCGCGCAGATGACATTTCATATCAGCTTTATTGTACGGGGCAGATTTATTAGAAGTGGGTATGGTATGGGCCCCTAGTGTGTACACAAGACGAGTAGCGATGGATAACGTCGCCGCTGCGGACTGGAGATCACCCAGAAAGTATTGGATTTGTACCTGATTGCTCTGTTAGCCATTCCAACAAAGACCACGGGGATAGTTGTGTACGTACGAGTATGATCAATGTCTGCAACCCGTCGACCGTCATCTCCTCAATCACCGGGATTTGAAAGCTCTGTGCCGCGGATGCATAGGACTGACAGTCCATGGCGCCGCTGATGTTGTCATCCAGGCCAAACAGGGAGATCAGTGAGAGGAAGGCATAGACGCACGATTTGGCGCTCGTAGAACCAGGGGGGGTGGAGTGGGCTGTAGACAAGTTCTAGTGTTTTGCCAAAGATAGACTGGCTGATGACCGGGAAGACCAGACTTTGCGATGATGAGCCATAGATCTGGACGTATCTTTCCACATTCACCCTGCTCGGGAACTGCGGATACATCTTAGGGTCCGTATATGAACGAAGTGGCTTCAGCCAACGGAGCTCCAGTGAGAACAACTTATCAAAGTTGACGACTTCCCCGACCTGAGATTCAATCCACCTCTGGCCTTCGTTCGAGAATACATGGTGGCCCCTGAGATAAGTGACGTTGTTGAGGAACGTATTTCCGATTCTCGACGACCACGTGGAGTCAGCGACTTGAGAGGCCGGCCCCTCTCCTATGTTAGGACCGTCCTTCTCACCCGTGCTAGATGTTGCGACAGTCACCCGGTTGCTACTGACCGATTAGCTAGGGAGACTTGGACTGATGGATATAGTTGAACGGCGGTTGAAAATCAAGGGAACAGCACTATACGAAGAAATCCATGGGGAAGAGGCGAAACTCGAAATTATGCCGCATATCAGATGCAGTCAGAGCGTACCCTAAGTTGGCATTCGCCCGAATTCGATTGAATGTACAGGCGAGATTATGATGTTTACACCAGTTGCACTGTGGGAAGTCTCCATCACATTGGATCTGCCGAGCCCCGGAGACACGATGTCAGACTAAGTCTGGTCGTGTCCGACAACAGATGGCATACCTTTTTCTTGAAACAGGAGTCGCATGCTCTCCGTCTCGGTTTGGGCGGCCGTTTCTGCGATAGTGGCGATCGCCGTCTGCTTGGGCGGTGACCCGGCATCGGTCATGTAATGGGGAGATGCGCTATATGCCGATACATCCAGACCGGTTCAGCACTCGAATGGCATGTCCGTGGGCAAAGCTTTGCGAAAGATCGTGGTCCGTCACAAGGGGCCAGGGGCGAATCCGCTGAATAATCGGAATGTTATCGTCAAGGCTCTTGGCAAAGCTCCACCGTATCCCTGGAATGTGAAAGACCGCGAGACCGTTGTCGGATCCCCAACAAGGCTCCTTTCTACCAGCAGATCTGTTGATCTGGTGTGTCTGACAAGGTAGAATGCAGATTTGAAATTCTCTCTCGTGGTGATATTGAGTTATCTGACGTTGTCTATTGTTCGGGGCTTTCGAAGTTTCGAGAAGCATGAAGGTCGTAGTACTGTGTACGCATAATGGATATCGTGCAGCCAATCTCGGTGCATCGCCACTTCTGACGGTACTTTACAGCAATAATACCAAGGATAAGCATGATTCCGATTAAACTGAGTTTTCTATTTTTTGCCTATCTTACTCGGATCCTGTGGGGATCCCAGGCGTCTAATCCGATCTATAAAAGCGGCTTCTCTATTTTGCCCTATACTTACAGCAGCTTGTTCTGGCGAATGAACTCGGACCAGGTCTGAAGTTTCAGTCCAGGAATCTAATATGGTCAGCAAATGTAGTCCTCGTGAAGAACGGGTATATAGACTTACCTCCTTGGCTTGCACGAACTCCTCCCTTGCGTAGACGTTACCGCACTTCTCGAAAATCAGCAATTGCTCGGTGAAGTCTAATGCAATCTCCTCCGACATCCCGTCCCGGGTCATGAGAAGCTGCTGGAATTCCTTGGAGGTGGACGCGTGATACTGGGTCGGAACGTTGTAGTCTAGCGTCTAAATTAGCACAATGGACCGATGCTACTATACAGGGGAACCATACAGGAGCCCAGCTCAGTGAGCTTGTCGGCCTCAGACAATGCCTCAGCCCAGAAGGCGATGGTCTTGGTGAAGTAGGTGGAGCCAGCCTCGAGGACCACATGTACCAGCTTGCCCGTATCACGGATTGCCACATTAGGCAGAACCGTCTGCGGGCTGTGCGGGAACTTGAGGTTGTAGGTGCCCTTGGCGTCCTAGATCGTAATGTACATGAGCATTGAATTTATATTGATCGGGCAGGAGCGCGTACCTTGACGGGCAAATATCGCTGGGGATCGGTCAAGGTGTTCTCAAAGTAATTGGGGAAAAGAATAGTGGTCGTTTTGGCCCACAGGTCCGGTTTCTGGGTTTGGATATACTCGGTAATCAAGCTCTTGCCCTTCCAGTGATGCACATTCAGGAACTGGCCGTCGGATAAGGCAACAGGGTCGGGCAAGGCGCTCCAGACGAAGTGCTGCAGCGTCGTGATTCCAGCAGCAGCATCCACAATGGTCTTACCCTGCTCAATCTCAGCTGCAGCGGACTGCTTCTGCCAGAAGTCAGTCAGTGCATAGATGACATCCGCACCGGCAAAGGCCGCGGTCAGAGCTTCTCTATCACCCTCCAAGTCGGCACGACAGAGATCAACTCTCTGGGCAGCGAGCTGCTGGGCCTTGGGCTTGCAAGGGTCACGGGTGATTGCCCGGATATGATAGAGATGAGGATGCTTCAGGAATTCCGCAGCCACGGAACCGCCCTATAATTTATGGTCAGTGTCCTGCGCCACCCCATGGCGTGTGGATGTGCGAAGCCTTGCCTGAGAGCCGGTGGCGCCAATCACCACGACGTTTCGCTTGGTAACCGTCATTGTTTTTCTGATTCCGTGTAGCCTTAAAGCGAGGTACTGTGAGTGAATTGAACCAGCTGCAGACTGAGCGAACACTGGAGATCTATATAGGCCCGTATAGGGGGCTCCATGGAAGCTAGGAGGCATTTGCTACCGCTGAGTCAGCGGTTGGCCTGCAACCCTGGGAAGTGATCGACATGAACCTGATGTCTTCTTCCGATGCGTTCAGTTAACAGGCTTGAGCTTCGGATGCCACGGCTCATGATCATTGATCTCGTGTGGATGCGCCGAGAAACCCCAACGTATCCGTCGTGGTTGCGCTCCAAACCGTTGCATTGTACGGAGAGACGAGACCCTTCCCGAACCCACCTAGCTTTACTAACTATCTTTACTCGGTTCCGATCCGGAGATGCGGAGCCCGACTCCCGAGATAACGTAGTGGGTCGTTTCCTGTGGGAACAGGATTCACTGCAGGGTCAGGAAAGACGGTAATTTGCCATCAGTGCGTCAACCCACGTAGGATGGCCCACCGAGGAATTCTATCACATTATAAATTCGGTTATCTCGGTCAGCAGGGACTGATGACCGTGATAACTGTCTGAGTCCGACAATTGAAAAGTCACTGACTTTAGGAATCTGCGAAAACATACCATCATCGCACACTTCAAAATGAGCCGTGTTATTCTCGTCACTGGCGCCAATCGAGGTGAGCGAAGTGACCCATCGAAGTATGGTATATGGTGCCCCCTGGTTTAACTCGATTATAGGCATCGGAAGAGGCCTCGTCACACATTATCTTGCCCAGCCAAACACAACCGTGATTGGTACTGCCCGGGATGTCTCCGCGAATGCGAAAGATCTCGGTGAGCTCCCAAACGGCGAAGGCTCCCGCCTGATCGTCGTGCCGCTGAGCGCTGATAACCCAGATAGCATAGCAGCTATGTCGGATATCCTGACACAGCATGGTATTGGGCATATTGACATTGTCATTGCTAATGCGGGCATTTGCAACCACTATGGGCCGGTAGTCGAAATGACCGACGACGACGTGCTGTCTCACTTTGAAGTGAACACGCTGGGACCATTTAGACTATTCAGAGCTGTTGCACCGTTGCTGCAGAAAGCCAGCGTTCCTAAGTTCGCCTACATCTCTACGCTTCTGGCAAGCATCCATGAAATTGAACAGATCCCTTCATTGACCGGCGCATATGGAATGTCGAAAGTGGCTGGAAACTATCTGATCAAGAAGATCGATGCGGAGAATCAGTACTTGATCGCTTTGCCAATTGATCCGGGGTAGGTTTGCTATTGCACTTCTATGTCCCATCAGTCAAGAGTTGCTGACTTTCTCGTTTCTCCGCGCGTAGAATGGTACAAACCGACATGGGAAGCCGCGCGGCACAAGCCAATGGGCTGGAGAAGGCTCCGGTCACCGTCCAGGATACCGTTCATGGGATTACCAGCCAGGTATGCAGGATATTGGCTATTCCCACTGGCCGTAGATTACTGACGTTGTTACAGATTGAGGCAGCGACAAAGTCGACCACGTCTGGTCAATTTGTCAATTTCAAGGGCGAGAAGGTACATTGGTAGCTAGGAGTCAAGGATATGAGGATTCCTGTATCGCTAGTTCTATGAAATGAAAAATCGTCATATACAACATATTTTGTCATACACAACATGACATGGTCTTCCTTCTTCATGATTATGAACCGACGAGATAATCTATTTCCTCAGGCCCCTATTATCTGAACTTCTAGGTCTAGCTGGTAAGGCGGAGTAGTTCTGGAACACTGAGAAGACTGACCAGCCATGAATACCATTCGTTCTATTTCAGTACAAGAATGTCATCTTCATTTCGTCCTCTCCTTACACAGTGGGTGACCATATTTGCCATACCATGCACCATATCAAGGAATCCATACATCAACTTCAAACTCCACAAGATGCTCGGGGAAGGGCAGGCTTTCGATTCCAACCATGGTGAACAACGGCTGGTGGCGAGGACACCACTTCTTGATAAATTTGACCATATTTTCCCGCGCTTCCACGCGCATTCCGGACAATCCCACGAAGAACGCGCGCAGCTTAACCACGTAATCCCAGCCAGTGCGACCCACCTCAAGCGCATGGCCTTCTTGGGTCAGAGTGTGGATGATCAGGTCATTGATATTTTTGAAGGCCTGCGCAATTTGTTGTTCGATCTTGGGGGGAAGTTTCCCTGGTCAATGGATCCATGCCAGCTTCGAGATATGATTAGCCCCAGGGCCTAAAGGTGGTTCTGGTACACTGCTTACTCTGCCCGGTGACGACCAGCCGATTGCCGATGATGCAGGCATCGCTAAATCCGTATTTCTCGCGGCACTCTTCACCAAAACCAGGAACCGCGTGGTACTTGAAGGAAGCCATGTTGCAGATTGTAAGGGCGTAGAACACTCTTGTTCAAGTATAGACGAGCGATCGGTATATCAAGTACTTATACTGTGATGGTTCTATAGAACGGGAACCGGTCGGTCCGCTTTGTCAGCGGAGAGTAGCCCCACTAACTACGTTCCGGTACACTGGGAGCACCGGAGATATATTCCATGGTTTCAACCGGGCCGAAGAAGGCAAAGTAAATCTGTGACAATGACTCATGACGTAGAGGACACAAAAGTAATCAGTTCGGGGGAAAAGGTTCCAGAGCAGTTTCTTCATCAGTTTCTCCGACTGTTAGATTTGCTTCTACGCTATCTTGCGGATGAACAACCTACAGCGTACCGGTCATGGAGCATATCAAGCTGTCCTTCGCGAAAGCGAAGAATCAGAACCGCGCGGCCCTGGGGGCGTATGTTACCGCTGGGTATCCGACAGTGAAAGAGACGCCAGATATTCTACTCAGTCTCGAGAGCAGTGGTGCAGGTAAGTATTGATCAAACCTTGACAAATTGTGCTTAGGCCTCTGACGCCGTAGACTGAATAGATATGATTTAGCTGGGCATGCCGTTCTCCGACCCTATTGCGGATGGTCCTATCATTCAAGAGGCAAATATGATCGCTCTCACTAATGGGGTCACCGTGTCGGGGGTGCTGGACATGGTGCGAGAGGCAAGACGTCGGGGATTAAAGATTCCCGTGCTACTCATGGGATACTATAATCCAGTCCTTCACTACGGCGAGGAGAAGCTGTTGCACGACTGCAAGGAGGCAGGGGTCCATGGATTCGTCCTGGTAGACCTCCCCATCGAGGAAGCGGCTCGGTTCAGAAAATTCTGTGTCAGCTATGGGTTCGTACAGGGTCATCTGTCTTTCAGGTTATGCGCTAACGATTGTCAGGCTTTCTTACATTCCCCTTATTGCGCCATCTACGTCCATCCCTCGCATGAAAGCCCTGTGCAGCATAGCGGATTCCTTCATCTATGCTGCTTCGAGAATGGGTGTGACCGGTGCCTCCCAGTCACTAAGCGCCAACCTTCCTGAGTTTCTTGCCCAGATCCACAAGTATGCCGGCAACATACCAATTGCTCTTGGCTTTGGCATCAGCACACGGGAGCACTTTCTATCCGTACAAGCCTTAACTGAAGGCTGTATCATTGGCAGTCAGATCATTAGCACCATCGGAGCTGCGCAACCGGGTCGAGCAGCTGAATGCGTCGAGAAGTACCTATCCGGTATCACAGGCCGCAATCTCGAGCGAGATGAGCACGGCGCCATTGTACGTGAGGTCACTGTGTTAGAACCCTCCGCAGCAGGGACAAGGCCTCAGGCGATGCCTTCGGAAGATGCGCGTCCGGATACAACAGACGTCACACCTGGGCACGATCCGGTTACGTCCACGCGCTTTGGCGAGTTTGGTGGCCAGTACGTGTCGGAATCCTTGATGGGCTGTTTACCCGAACTAGATCAGGCCTTTGAAGCGGCACGACAAGACCCGGCCTTCTGGGAAGAGTACCGTTCCTACTATCCCTACATGGGTCGTCCGAGTGGGTTGTATTTTGCGGCACATCTTACTGAAGAGATTGGTGGTGCAAATATCTGGATTAAACGGGAGGATCTCAACCACACTGGGAGCCACAAGATCAATAATGCCCTGGGCCAGATCCTCCTAGCACGACGACTAGGAAAGAAACGAATCATCGCCGAAACGGGCGCAGGCCAGCATGGTGTCGCCACTGCGACGGTGTGCGCCAAATTCGGCATGGAATGTGTGGTCTACATGGGCGCCGAGGATGTTCGCCGTCAAGCGCTCAATGTGTTCCGGATGAAGCTCTTGGGTGCTACAGTGGTACCAGTGACGTCTGGTAGTCGCACACTGCGTGATGCAGTAAATGAAGCATTGCGCGCGTGGGTTAGAGATGCCGAAACCACCCATTATATACTTGGTTCGGTTGTTGGCCCTTATCCTTTCCCTACTATCGTGCGCACCTTCCAGTCCATAATTGGGCAGGAAACGAAAGAACAGATGCGAAATGCTATTGGAAAACTTCCGGACGCTGTTGTGGCCTGTGTCGGCGGAGGCAGCAATGCGTCAGGCATGTTCTATCCATTCCTCGACGAGCCGAATGTCCAGATGTTGGGCGTCGAGGCTGGTGGTGATGGCCTCGATACCTCTCGCCATTCAGCGACCCTGTGCGGTGGCAGTAAGGGGGTCCTTCATGGAGTCTACACCTATCTCCTGCACGATCAATACGGGCAGGTCTCGGAGACGCACTCGGTCTCTGCTGGTATGGACTACCCAGCTGTAGGACCTGAGCTCAGCTCCTGGAAGGACAGTGGGCGGGCTCAATTCATTGCTGCCACCGATGCCCAAGCCCTGGCTGGGTTCCGCGCTCTGGCAGTGTATGAAGGCATTATCCCAGCGCTTGAGTCCTCTCACGCTGTATATGGTGCCATTGAACTTGCCAAGACGATGAAGAAAGGCGAACAGAACGTTGTTCTCAACTTGAGCGGACGAGGTGATAAGGACATGAACTCTGTCGCCGAAGTGCTGCCTCGTCTGGGCCCTGAGATCGGATGGGATCTCCGACTTTAATATTTGATGTTGCGGGTTTAATAAATGGATGTAGTAGGGAGTTTTGTATGTGACTTGGATAGATTGTGCTAGACGAATTACTTATAGAGCTTGCGTTGGCTTGATGGGTTATATCGACGTGCTGGTGGAGCTAGTAGTGGAACCTAGTGGGAACGGTGATGTTGATGCTATTCAGGTCCTGCCCGCCTGCCCAAGAGGCCTAATATTCTATGAATTTGTGGGCTGGCCTACGGCGCGCTAAGCCTATTCTGGAACCACAGAGACCCTGCCTCCGACAGTTTACCTCCCCTGGCTAATCCTAAAAGAAGGGAGCAGTTGAATAGACATAGCACTACTCCCCGTCCCAGCAAACCATGTCATCTATTGATTCCATATCCGCATCGCCGACCGGCGACATCTCAGCCCCTGGCCGTAAATTGGATAGTAACTATAGGGATCAGAGCAAAAACAGCAATCAGACCGCACATAACGCCGGCTGAACCAGCAAATTTCAGGGTATTGAACATGGCCGGAAAATAGAAAGGTCCCACCTGGCAGAGAAGTCAGTATCGTTGCTTGACCCTGGCACAAGATAGCACTTACAAATCCATAAAGTTGGCGGTAAACACTCAGACAAACACCGATGTCTGTCGCAAGATCCCTGTGGCTGTCGACCGAAAACGTCATCAGAATCGTGCTGATGATCTGATTTCCAAAGCTGCTAATTCCAGCCCCAATTAGAGGTGTGATATTCCACGTGGAGGATGCATTGTCCAGTTGAAATCCCCAGACCAGCAACCCGGCGATTACAGTAGCAAACCCGATATAGGACAACCAAAGGCGATCTGCTGGTCTATGCGAGCCCTTTTTTCTGTCAATCACTCGGAGAAACCAGTCTGATGTAGGTCCTGCCAGCTGCTCGCCGATGAGAGATCCCACAATGATAGCAATAAATTGAAGCCCAATTTGCTGTTCATTCAAGTTGAATCTCTCCCCAAAGGCGATGGGCATCTCAACGATAAGCGCGATATTCGCATAGCAGAACACTATGGACTGAGCTAATATAGGAACTATCACCCGTGGGTGTTTCGAAGCGAGCATGGGTTCAATAAAGGAGTAGGCTGTCAAAGGACGTGGATCAAGCCGACGAGGAATGAACTTGTTGAAGAAGCCACCCAACGATCTGATCGGAGGGGCACCTTCCATGGGGTATATCGTTTCGTCTCCGAGCAGCACGTACAGTATGAACTGTACGAAGTTTATAATGGTCAGGACCCAGAACACCCAGCGCCAGCCGAGGTGTCCACTCACGAATCCCATAATCAGCGGCCCAGAGGGGGTGCCTAATGTGAGCAGTAGGACCCACCATCCGAGTTTCTGGGCACGTTCATGTGGCTCACATAGGTCTACAATCACGCCGCTGCCTATACCAGTGGCAGGACTGATACAGATGGCAGCAAACACTCGGGTAGCCATCTGGGCTCCGTAGGAGTGGCAGAAGACTGCGCCAATGTTGCAGATCATACAACCGAACACAGCAAAAAGGAAGACAGGGAAGCGGCCATATATCGAGCTAATTGGTTTCCAAAAGACGGGTATGATTCCTAGGAGCAGGATCTTGATCATAGGTGTAAGCCACCCCACATTGTATAGGAAAACAGCAAGTAATGGGGGACATGTATACCTGAGTCGCTGTAAGATAAGTGAGCGATTCAACCGGCACTTCATATTCCTCTGCCATGAGATCATAGGCAGGTATGATGCCCGCAGCCATGAATGAGGCTCCCATGGAGTGAAACGCCACCATTAGAATCTGGGCATTTTTCTTCCATTTCGGCCAGTTACGAGGATGGTTGGGATCCTCCACCCACGCGTTGGCATGGTTTGGTGTCGATGGGCGCTCATTTTCACCACCAGGCGATCCTCTGATCTCCAGATCCTTTGAGTCAGAGGCTGAGGTGGAGGTATCGTATATCATTGTTGGCCTGCTAAAAGAGTGGACAGAGACGTGTGGTGCAAGATAGGATGCAGAGAATAGATCCGGTACTCAACCTTTTCAAGTCAGAGGAGGCCTGTAGTCTTTATGAACGCAAAAGCGACACAGGGGTGCCCGCATTATTATCGAAAATTGGGTTCATACCCCGTGGGGTACATAGAGTATGGCAGAAACCCCCCTTATCAGCTCTAAGAATCGAATCGAATTTTTTGCCACTGGCCAGAGCGCTGAATGCTGTTCGCCCCGGAGTTACCCCGGATTAGACTCCAAAGGTGGAGATAAGACCCAAGAGATGGGTCTTTGCTTGAGAGTTGCCATGTCTAAGAGCCAAGCATTCAATGTGCCCATGCAGTACTGTCGCGGTGACTCAGAAGTAGTGAGGTTGCACGTATATCATCATGCCTTGAGTCTGATAGAATGCTCATAGTTCGCCGATTATTCAGCGGCAAAGAAAATGTGGACCCCAAATATTCGGGTCACGAGCCCTTTTCGAAAATCCCTCGTATGTGGCCAATCTGTTCTTTAGTTATCTGATCGATCCACTTTCACCTCTAGTAGCTCATAGTAATCAGCTCCCCGTCACACTGGCCGATTAGTCATCGGAAAGACATCCTAGCTTGACCAAATAGAGACTCAGTTGGTTTTATGTACTTACGAAGTACTCTGTGCCTTGTGGGGTTCCTTGCCGATAAGCTCCCGTAATGGAGAGGATGGGAACACCGCAGTTTCCCCGCAGTCCCCTTCCTATGGGTAGACAAATTTGAACTACGTAATTTGAGAGTTTCTGTCGGAAATTGGCTCCGATCTTCTCGGGTGGCACGGATATATATTTTACAGGAACGCACCTCGGCAAATTCATCCTAGACTCTCTGTTTGTAGTCTTGTCATTCCTTGCATATCGTCTATCACCATGGGTAGCATCAGAAAGTGGGAAGAAATTGTCTCCGAGAAAAGGTCTCTCCGGGACAGATCTCTGAAGCCATATACGGTTTCGAATCTGGACCAACGACAACCCCGGGTCGATAACGTCCAGATTCGCTCCCGTCTGGACAATCCTGTTGCGCAGAACATTACCGACATTGATAGTATCCCTATTCTTCTCGAACACTTGAGAACGGGAAAATACACCGCAGAACAGGTGACACATGCCTATATTCAAAGGTGTGTACTATATCGCTGTCCGCAGCTTCGACGAAGAGGCCCTGCTGGACCGGAGGAGAACGAATAAGACTGACCTTCTCCCTACAGATCTGTGGTAGCTCATCAGTTAGTACGAACTCCATCTCTGTTGTATGATTGAAGCAGTGCCCTGTTTAATCCCCTATCAGACCAATGCCCTTACAGACACAGTCTTCGATGAGGCACTGAGCCAAGCGCGTGCGCTCGACGGTCACCTCCAAAAAACTGGTGAGCTTCGGGGGCCCCTCCATGGGATCCCAGTGAGTGTCAAAGAGCAATTCAATCTGAAAGGCGTGGATACCACCTTGGGGTATGTTGGTCGAGCATTTGCACCTGCTACGGAAGATGCTGCTATAGTGCAGATCCTAAAGGAGCTGGGCGCTGTTGTGTTCGTCAAAACAAACTTGCCTCAGACTCTCATGGTACGTTTATCCTTCATCTCTGATACTGTAGAGGACAAGTTGAGCAATTATCGCAGTGGGCTGAAACGGACAATCACCTCTGGGGCCGAACAGTCAACCCACGCAATCCCAACCTCATTGCGGGTGGCTCTTCGGGTGGTGAGGGCGCCCTATTGGCTTTACATGGCTCCATTCTGGGACTGGGCACGGATATTGGAGGGAGTATCAGGATTCCTGGAAGCATGAACGGGCTGTATGCATTTAAACCCACTGTATGCCGCCCGAGTGTGAAGTTTGGTGTTTGCTATTCGCACTGCTGATTTCTACAGAGTAGCAGATACCCGGCAACAGGAGTTCCTGGGCCTACGGAAGGTCAGGAACATGTCCATTTCTCTTCCGGTCCCTTGACTCGTGACATGAAGTCTTTATGTTATGTGAGCCGGCTAGTCGCAGACTCCGAGCCTTGGGAGTTGGACCCTAAATGTGCCCCTCTTCGTTGGAATGAGGCCGCCTTTCAGGAGATGCAAGCACGGCCCCTGGCTATCGGACTGATCCTAGATGATGGGGTTGTCAAGGTCCATCCTCCTATCGAAAGAGCGATCCGAGAACTAGCCTCCAAGCTCCAGGATCAGGGCCATGAAGTGACCATCTGGGATACGTGCGACCATCATGATTGCGTCAAGCTTATGGATCAGTTTTATATTGCTGACGGGTTCGAGGATGTCCAACGCGATATCGATGCTTCTGGAGAACCAATGATCCCTCACGTCCAAGGGCTGGCGGACCGAGCCAAGGGAAAAGCCTTATCACTGTACCAATACTGGCAAATGAACAAGCGGAAGGTTGCATTGCGCCAGAAATTCCTCAGTCGCTGGAACGCAACTCGGACTTCCTCTGGAAAACCAGTCGACGTGCTGTTGGGACCAACTATGGCTCATACTGCCGTTCGACATGGCAAGCTGCGATGGGTGGGCTATACAAAAGTGTGGAACTTACTCGATTACCCGGCCGTTACGTTCCCTGTGGATACAGTTAAGAAGGAGATTGACGTACAGCCGAACGGATATCAACCGCGCAATGACTTAGATGCGTGGAACTGGGGACTTTATGATCCCAACACTATGCATGGTCATCCCATCAATTTGCAGGTCATTGGAAAGACACTCCAGGATGAGAAGGTTTTGGGGGCCGCCACTGTCATCGAAAAGATTTCCCGCGGAGAGAAGTAATGGGTCAAAAACAGGTCAATTGTTGTCGGCGGTGCCACTGCAATACTTAGAGACTCTGGCTACGCGCGCCTCCTGTATGTAGTTGTTACTCCTCTTACGAAACATATTCCATCTACGCACAATAAAATTTCCCTACGTAAAAAGTGTCCGTTCACAATTTCCTCGTATTGTCCTCGAAAGATGTGATTCATTGTATTGTCTAAGAACCAAATTCCGGATTAGATGAAAGTGAGTCAGTGGCTGCTTAGTAGGTACCCGAAATTCATCGGCATTCCTTTCCAGCGACATGAGGGTTCTGGAACTGTTGCGACATAGGGCTTCCGCACATGTCCAGACGACACAGATTCAACCAAGTCATGATGAACATGTGTGTCTGGGCTTTTGCGCTACTCATTATCGAGCATCCAACACTGATGGTTATAGCATAGTGTCCATACAGACAGGGATGATGATGTCTCATGGCTTTCTCCGTACACACTGTGCAAACAGGCCCGCAAAAGTGACACCGCAAAAGTGACAGCACAAAACTACCTAGGTTTGATCTCAGATGGTAGCCCGCGAATACCCTCAACCTCATGAGCATGAAACTGCATGTTGAAATACTCGGCCAATGCACTGACTCTATCCTCCTCCGTTTTCAACTCCTGCAACGTCTCGGTCTTCCCATGAAGCACTCTCTTAACTTCTCTCCCAGCCAGGATGTAGATCCCAATAGGATCAAGGTGTTGCTCATCCAGGATGACTCGGGTACACGCCAGTTTCTGCGTGAACAACATTGCGCGACTCTTGCTCGTAAAAAAGTTGATCATGGTGAAATCCTCGAAGAGGAATTCAATCTCAGAGAACGAGTATTGCGGGATCCACGGGTTGTAAGGGTCCTTCCGAGCTTGATAGACCCAGACCTTCTGGGTTTGATCGATGAAGTCTGCAAGAGGTGCCCTGATTAAGGACATATCGCTCGGCGCGATTAGTGGGGCTGTGTTGTTCTCTTGCAGCAAGAAAGGACTGGTGGGAGTGTTACGGCCGAGACCGACATCAACCTATCGTGTTCACGCTCTTAATACATTTCTACACGTTGATATAGGTTCTGGATGACGTACCATGTACTTGTTGCCGGCGATAGTCACGATTAGAATCATGTGGCTCCTATACATGTTTCTTAGCCACCAGTCTCTTGGGTCAGGTCCCGCATAGCACCACTGACAAGGATATATAACCGTCCTCAGTTGAATCTCCAGTAACGACAGCACGACTCACTCGGCCTCCGGTCGCATACACCTGATATCCGAGCGAGCAAAGTACCATGTAGAGGAGATTGGTGTTCTCCATACAGTACCCATCAAGGCAACGGACCACCAGCTTCTTGAAAACACAGGCAGGATGGATTGAGATCGAATGGTGGTTTGAGTAGTGTAGAGCCGTATTTCCCCAGGCGATTGCAGCCAGATGCCGCCGTTGCAATTCTGTTAGGGCTGTCAGTAAATCATCTTCCATCGACCTGCGGAGTTGTTCTAGGCGTGGATGCCCAGCAGCCGTCGGAGCGGCGTTGTCGGCATATCGAATACGCTGAAGGTACAGCTCTAATTCATCCGTATTGAGGGTGTAAGGGCTTGTGGGCAGCTTTGTTGCAGGCATGATGGCTAGTATAATTGTGCGACCGTAATTCAGAACTGATAGAGGCAGTGAAAATCCAACGCGGGTCGCCGCTACACAGTCGGGAATTTATAGGGGCAAGTAGGGTTCCCACTCACCCGACAGATCAGCGCCAATCTTATACTAGGACTCTTACTGTCGGATACTATGGCGCGCGCCTGAAAATGCATCCACAACCATGCTTCTGTGCTCGGCAAAGGGCCGTTATCTTGCTTCTCGCTACCCGGTCTATACGCGAAATCCCCGTCCAATCGGAAGCTTAAGTGCATCTTCATGTCTAGCTAGAAAAAGTAAAGATCGGTCAGATTTGAGAAGCCAATGCATCCTCGGCGTCGGTGGCCCTAGTAGTACTGCCTGTACTGGGTATTATTAGGTAGTTTTGGAGTTTCCACATCTGTTAGTGGGGTTTAGGGTTGGGGTTGGGGCGGGGACGGGGAATATGACCCGCAGCACAGCATAGGCGTTCAGGGTTCAAGTCAGGAATGGGGCAGCTTCAAAATTCACAATATAATGATAATCTTGAGAAGACACCGCTGAAAACTAGATAAACAATATCGTGACAAAATATACAGCTGGGATTGTCCAGGAAGCAGGAAGTACACTACAGGCAATCAGAGAGCAATCTTGGATAAGACCTTGGCACCATAAACTACGGTTCAGAACGTCTAACAGGACAGAGGCACACATTTAGCGATATTCAAACAGGAAGAGGTTTAAATATATTAACCGGGGCGTCAGAGTGGCAAGTTCATGACGGGATGCGCTACAGCACATATGAAGCATATTAAAAACAAAGGTAATAAAGATGATCAATAATTTACTGCTCTTTGTGGTTCTATAATAGCAAATATATATATATGTATGTGTCTCACATAAGAGCTCGGGGAACTTGAACTCTTTTCTATTGATTTATAAATCAATCCTTGTACACATCTGTTAATACAAGCTGTAAATCTTTTTGAGTTACCATTGTTAAATGCAATAATATTGTTATCATCAGGTGTTACCATTTCTTATGCTCACCATTCATTAATACAAAGTAATAGAAAAGGAGCATTGTATGGTATGACAGTTAAAGACTGAAAGCACTTGATAAGTGCGGTAGATAGCGACGAGGTGCTGTAGGGGCATCTATTCAGGTGCGATATCTAATAGTCGGATCATACAATGACTGATCGCTGGTCTCGGAGGAGACCAGGTGTGTTCCCCTTTTGAACCTGGGCTGCTGATGTGGCTCTCGACTAGCTTACTAATCGAGACCCGGTAACTAGTTAACTAACTGTCAGTATCGGTGGAGATTCAGTATTGTAAGGATGTGTATTAGTTTGCTGTTTATAGACTAGCCGAGATTAGTCATGTTCACACCCATACAAGTTTGTATGGAGACGGGCATAACAATTCAGACAACTACCCATGGACCTGATTGGGCGTACCATTTGAGTATCGACAGTTATGAGCCCGGCTTGCTAAGTGAATTTATTGCCTATTCTGTCGAATCTGAGGCTGTTCATACCGATTATTTGTCGAATTGACCCCGCCGGTCAATTACCCCTGAGAGCGAACCGATCTGTACACAGTATCTGCATCGAAAGCAGCACTGTTGAATACAACCCGATACCGCTATGGAAACCGCTGTTATCTCCGCTTCGCAGAGCGTCAAGCTGCGAACGTCGGCCGATTGGATCGATTGGATACGTGCTATCCGCGATGTCGCCGAAACCGATCGTGTATGGAAGTTTATCGACCCCGATACCCCTGAGAGTATTCTTCCCGAACCGAGAGAGTGCCCTGAACCTCCGTCTCCCGATGCGAATGCAACCGCGATCGATCTGTATAAGATAAATTATCAGCGATGGGATCGAGAGGAGAGAGGACTAGCCAATATCAAGAGAGTGATTATGGCGACCATTGAACCTGCAGTGAGGGATCAGCTGTATGATAAACCTACTGTGCATGGACGTCTAGTGACATTGAGAGACCGATATTCCGATTCTGGAAACCTCAATGAGGAATATCGCCAGGACTATATGTACAATGCAGTGTATCCTCCACGGAAGGGAGAGGACGTAAAGGCATTCGTACGTCGCTGGGAGAAGATGAGGGATCGGATGATCGCTATTGGTGAGACCCAAATGCAGTTTAATAAGGACTTCCTGTTAGCAGTGAAGCATCTGGCACCAATGTGGCACACACAACAACTTCGACCTATCACGATCGAGAGCACCAAGATAGATAATAGTGCGTTGGTGAATGACTTCCTGGCTCACTACCGCGAGCACTTTGGTAGCGCACCAGCACCGGCGCCACCAACCAATCTCCGAGGTCATTCAGCACCAAGGGCTGCATTCTCAACCCTCCAAGGTAGCACTGAGGCTGTACCAGATTCGCCAAGTGCAGCAAAACCGGCCAAGAAGCGATCGTTGAAGGATGTGCCAATGACTGAGCGATGGTGCCCGTGTGGTAAGAGAAACCACAAGCCATGGGAATGCCCATATATCAATGAAAAAGAGAGATCGGCCAATTGGAGTGCCGATTCGAGAACTCAATCAAGAATCAACCAGATGCTCAAGGATCATCCTGATTGGAAGGAGTTTATTGACAAGGAGATCAAGTCAGCCAATCAGTATTATTCGGCCGAAAAACAGGGTGCTGCCCTAGGAACATGGTCAATGACAACGCTGGCACTGAATTGTCTTAATCAAAGACCTCACCTCAGGGATGAATGGGCATTTGATACGGCGACACATCGTCATATCTGTGTGGACCGAGATCTGTTCATTGATTATACTTCTGATGAATCAGTCGTCAAAACTGGTGACAGTGTCACTCGCACCCTAGGGTATGGAACTGCAGTAATGCCCTGTATTGACCCTAGAACGGGTGCGCGAAGCAGCGTCAAATTGCATAATGCCTGCCATTCACCTACCTTCCAAGCCAACTTAGTCTCGTACGGTTGTGCAAAGGAACGTGGCTGCCAATGGGATGAGATAAATAACTGTATAAGAGACCCGAGAGGTATCCCATTTGCACGAGTAGCCTGGAATGAGCATGCAAAACTGTGGCTGTTTGACAAGCCACAGGGTGATGCATATAATTGACTAGCCGATGGAACTGCCACCTTGGGGAGAGAGTGTAATATCGAGTACGCGATGGCAGTGCGGAAGTCGATTGCACCAAGGATCTCCGAGGCATCGTCGGATGTGTGGCATCGCAGATTGGGCCATATACATCCAAACACAGCGAAGAAAACGGCTGAGATGGTGGAAGGAGTCAGAATCAAGGACTCTGAGACGAATGGCATAACTGAGTCCCCGTGCCAGGTGTGTAGTATGTCACACGCACCACGTCAGATATCGCGGAGACCAGTAGGTCGTACGTTTGGCACGTTTGGACAGCTGTATTATGACCTAATCGAAATGCCGAAGGAGTCACATAATGGCCACCGATATATCACGCATTTCTATGTGTCAGGCATTCGGTTCCACTGGGTGTATACGCACGCGCGTAAATCAGAGTGTCAAAACGGCATAAGGGCCTTCCTGTATTTGGCCACCCGTTTACTGAAGATACCCCTGATTGGAATTCACTCAGATAACGAGAGATCAGTGACAGCTGATACTGAACGAGAGCTTGAGGGGATGGGCTTTGTGATGACACATACTGTAGTGCATAGCGCTGAGATGAACGGCCCCGGCGAACGCTCAGGGGGTGTCGTCATTCATAAGGCGAGAAAGCTGCGTATTGAGAGCCAATTGCCCGAGGGCCTGTGGCCAGAGATGGTATACGCCGCGGTGTATATACTGAACAGGACTCCAACCCATCTGAAGGATGGAAGGTGGATAGTACCCTGGGATGAAGCACGATCACACCTAGACCAGAACTTTGTGAGGAAGTCAGACCTGTCATGTCTGAGATTGTATGGCAGTCTCACCTATTGTCGGATACCGAATATCCCTCGTTCTCACAAACTTCGCCCTCGTGCGGAAGTTGGTTTCTTGGTTGGTTATCAGGCTTCGAATGTGTGGCGAGTTTGGATGCCCTCGTCGGGTAGGATTCAAACCGTACGCGACGCAGTATTTGATGAATCGCGCCGCTGGCACCCTGGTATACAGTATTGGGCAGAGCACCCACTACCGATTCCGGAAACTCGTGATATCCTCAACGACCGCGAGGAATGGCGCGTTATCCACCGCGAAATAGGCCTCCCTGATGACTGGATTGAGAGTCGAATCGGACATGAATCTGAGACCAACCAACCGAATCCAGCACCTACTGATGCTGAGAGCGTTAGTAGAGAGCCTGAAATTGAGGAGAATAGTGATGTTGGGGATGGCGGTGAAGATGACACTGAGGAGGTAGCTGATCGTGAAGCGACACCTGCACCTACTCATCTCGAGGCTGTACAGCAGTACACTCCGCCACCTACTATTGAAAAACCATCTCAACGATCAAATCGATCTCCTGCACTGCCTGGTACATTTCCAGACGAGCTACCAAGGTCTCCGCTAAGACATCGTTTTCCGGCCGGAAAACCAGCTACAGAGGCTGAGGGGGTGGAGAACAAAGAAACGACTCCGAATTCTACAGAAAACGAAGCTCAGCAAGATGACCAGCCTCAGCAGCAGCAGGATGAGTCATTTGAACCAGAGCCTCTATCTGAAAGTGAAGCTCAATTACACCAGGAACTGGCTACGCCGGTGCCGGTCGTGGCACCCCGAGACATCGATCTGTCGTTGAATCCTGCCAATATTGTTGATGGTAAGCGCGAGCGTAGGTCGACACGCCGAGATGACTATACATATCTGGTTGCTGAGGACGAATCGTCATTCGAACCACCTGATCTGTTATATGCATTCGCTACTGCGCTAAACGCTGAGAAACCGAGTCGTCACCGAGACAACCTGCCATCAGCACCTGAGCACTGGAATGATATGGTCCGACATTCTAACCGCGACGCATTCATGGCAGCTGCCGCCCTGGAAGTTCGGAACTTGAAAAGCAAAGGCACGTTTGAAGTGGTTGATCGTCCGAATGATCGATCTATTCAGGTCTTACCGCTGCGTTGGGTCTTTGACTATAAGTTTGACCAGGATGGCAACCTATTGAAGCACAAAGCTCGCCTATGTGTGAGAGGTGATCTTGAGAGAGTGACTTCAGAGGAGAAGCGTGCTGCTACCCTCGCTGTCCGTACGGCACGGATTATCTTCGGTTTAGTTGCAGCGTTTGACTGGGATCTAAGGCAATTTGATGCGGTAAATGCCTTCCTGAACAGTACGCTACCGAAGCCGGTATATGTGAAGCCACCGGATGGATCAAACCTGCCGAAAACGGTGTGCTGGAAGCTTGTAAAGGCACTGTATGGCCTAAGGACCTCACCAAAGCTTTGGCAGCAGGAGGCCTGTGGTGTGCTAGGTAAGCTTGGTTTGACACCACTACCTGAGGATCCCTGTGTGTTCATTGGTAAGGGGATTATCGTGTTCTTCTACGTGGATGATATTATTCTGGCAAGTGCACCTGATCAACGAGACCGCGCCTACGAGATTGAGCGACAGCTTCACACACACTGGGAGCTTACAGATCATGGAGATGCCCGCTGGTTCCTTGGTATTCGGATTATACGCGATCGATCGATGAAGAAGCTGTGGTTATGTCAGGATGCCTATATCGCAAATATGGCGGTCAAATTCAACCTTGCGAGCAGACCCCGGGTGATGACGCCAATGACAGCACCTGATAGCCTGAAGCCGTACGACGGTATACCGCGCAGAGAGTATATTGAGGAGTTCTCGACCAAATTGGGATCAGCTCAGTATGCTACTACGATCACCCGCGTGGATGCCGCGAAAGCCACTGCCCGATTGGCACAGTTCTTGACCAATCCGGGACCCCAGCATCTTGATGCTATTGATCGAGTGATCACCTACCTAAATCATACACGATTTTGGGCAATTGCATATGGAATTGGTAGTGGGTTGGAATCTATTGCATTCGCAAGCGATGCCTCATTAGCAGATAACCTCGACAAGACGAGCTCCGCTGGATATCTATGTCAGATATATGGAGGACCAGTTGACTGGAAGGCTTCAAAGCTACGCACTGTCACTACCTCAACCACTGAAGCAGAGCTGCTTGCTCTATCGGAGGCCGCTCGGGCAATGCAATATACGATTCGCCTACTACGTCACCTTGGTTTCCGACCAAACCATGAGATTACACTACGGTGTGACAATAGCCAAACTGTTGATCTGATCACCAGCACCAACACCAAACTGCATACGAAGCTCAAGCATGTTGATATTCACAATTATTGGCTTCGACAAGAAGTGGCAGAGGGTAGGTTGACGATCAGATGGGTGCCCACCGCAGAGATGGCTGCGGATGGCCTCACCAAGCCGCTCACGCGGCAGAATCACGAACGTTTTGTCCAAATGCTTCGATTATACGATATTCAGAGATATATTGAAGACTGAGGCAGCTGCTCCTGCCTATTTGGGACCTTCAACGGTCAACATCGATTGGATACAGCATTCAACACGCTGATATTGAATAACCTCAGGTGCTTTGAATACTGAGGGGGTGTGTCAGTATCGGTGGAGATTCAGTATTGTAAGGATGTGTATTAGTTTGCTGTTTATAGACTAGCCGAGATTAGTCATGTTCACACCCATACAAGTTTGTATGGAGACGGGCATAACAATTCAGACAACTACCCATGGACCTGATTGGGCGTACCATTTGAGTATCGACAGAACATGACTAATCTCCGCTAGTCTATAAACAGCAAGCTAATACACATCCTGACAATACTGAATCTCCACCGATACTGACAAAAATCCAGAAGGTTGAAGACCAAATAATTTTGATGATTAGGCTACACAATAGCAGTTCGGATTTCCATGTCCTTCCGAATACAACAGTGTTCAGGCCTACACCACTTTACACGCTACTCTTTCATCCCCCAAATCCCCAACTCTTAATCAATAGCCTACAGTAGCTGGATTATGGGACGCCACCTTAAACCCTGGCTGCATATGCTTATTCGCGATGTAATCAGCAAAAAACATCTAACTACCCGGGATAAAATATGGATCATCACCGAAGGTCAAGTCAGAACCGATCTATTTTGGCAGGTCGTGATGGACGTGGTGCAAATCCAGTAGCACCCCAATCGGTCCGACCACCGGGAATACCGCACACTCGGAACTTAATGCCAGCTTTGGTGCAGATTGCAGTCATGCTCCCCACCAATTTTGATACCTCTGCAAACTTGGATAAAGGTTTGAAGTCAATCCGTGTCAATGCGGGGGTGAAATCCAAGCCATTGCCAACATGATCTTGCAATTCTTGGGCAAAGACTTGGAGGTTCCCGACGTTTCCTGTATCCGAAATTTGAAGAGTCTCGATTGACGGTGGAAGGGCTTGAGCAAGGGACATGTCAGATTCTTTCTCCTTCAAAACCGGTAAGTTGTCTAGTCGGAGATGAAGTGTTTTCAGAACAGCAAAGTCCCGGAAGGAAGGAAGTGCATCATCGCATTGGTGATCGCTATCATGCCGATTGTCACTCTCCTTAATATCCAACCATATCGTGTCAAGGGTTTCTCTCATTGGGAGCAGAGCACCGTATAACTCCGTTGGATTATAGTCAAGGCAGCCCGAGTGATTGTATTTGAAAGACTGGAGGCTTTTGCAGGAGCCTATCACCTTGAACAGGTCCCATCTCCCATTACACCCATTGATCTCAATGTGAGTAACGGACGAGGTCCCATACAGCGGAGTTGAGCTCGATAACTCGTCAGAACCGCCCGTTACGCTGCCATCCAGATCGCTCGCGTAAAACTGGCGCATTGATGGTAACAAGAAGAAAGGCATAACGTGCTCTGCGCATATGCAGACGTCGTCAGAGCTCCAGTCCACATACGCCTCAGACATTGGCGGGAAAGAGGCCGCTGGAAGAGAGATCACGTCCCGAGTTGCAGCCCATCTCATCGCAAAGTGAAGCCACAGAGAACCGAAGGGGAACTCAGCCTCGAGTCGCCGCAGATTAGGCAAGAAGGTAAGCAGTAGTGCAATCCATGCGTCGCCACTTCCGATCTGCAACGCATCCAGCCAGACATCTGCTTTGTCCGTGGAGCCAGCCACGCGCTGTGCCTGTTCATAGAGAGGGCCGTAGTCAATGCGATCTAAACGGACGCTCCCATCTAGCGACCAATCATGCGGTTCATCTTTACCATTGATGGCAAGATCGTCTTTGTATGATCTCAGCGCGTCTTCGAAGTCTGCCTCGTGGGTTCCCTGTTCTGTCTCCCAGGCGGACAGATGTACGGCCTCCACACGCGCTGCGAGAGACGGGTTCTTGGCAAGAGCCTCGCTAAGCTGGACAATTGGACGGAGGAGGTCGCCCCCTACCCATAGTTTTCGATAGAGCAATGGCAGGAATATTTCATGGAACCGTCGCGAACAGCATACAAGATTCAATCGGTCTTGGGGGGTCTCAAGCTGCCGACATATCTCTATGACAACCTCCAAAGGGAAATTCGTCAAACTTGAGACAGAAGTGTTCATTTTTTTTAGGGATCTGCAGCCGATCAGGGGCTCAAGGTCGAAAGGCGTCGCGTAACGATGAGTTCACTGCCGAGCACGGTAAAGAGGAAGTGGCAAGATAAAAACAGAGACGCCAACCTGGAGTAGGTATATGTTCGATTTATATGCGAAGTTGTCAACATGGCAGGATGTTTATTCTGGCAGTTAGTTACCTCGTATTTTCATGGCTATCTTGATCACGTGCGGCCCTAAAAACTGTCGGAATCCATAGCTTGGAGGTGGATTGTCTAGATGGCCTATTATTGTGTTGAAGTCAGCTTCCCAAGTCAACTGCCAGATGGGGGCTTTTATGTAGTAGGTTGTGACCTGTGCATGGGTTCCCAAATCCTATAGGTCCCATGGGATCATGTAGGCCTCGCCAGACCCGCCCCAAAACCCGAACCCGCCCACGAAAACCCGCCCACGAAAACCCGCCCCACGGGTCGGGGCGTGTTGGTTTATTAAGTGATGCTTCAATGGTCATGTTATTGAGGAGAGTTTTTTGTGTGTTGTGTTATATGTGTTGTCTAAGATACAAGTAGACCAAGAGACGGAGATACACGTATGCACGTGATCCAGCCTCATTATCTGAGCAACCGGGATATTTCAACACGATGGGTTACCCGTGGGCGGGTTGGAAAAATGAAAACCCGCCCCGAACCCGCGTTTGGCGAGGCCTAGTGTATTGTATGAAAGATATCACGTGACTAGAGGAGGCTGTCTCAGCCTGTTAGGGGTCTGCCCCGCGTCCTGCTGTTCAAGGAGGAAGTATCAAGATCACAAAAGAGTCTAAGCTTTCGCGTCCTCGACTCCACCCACTTCGCTTTATAGTACATGCCCTGGCTCAGGGATGTCTGATCCAAAGATCTACAGTGTTGGCTGGATATGCGCCATCAACATTGAATATGTCGCCGCTCAAACTTTCCTCGACGAAAAGCACGGTGGTCCGGAGTATCTGTCGCCTCAAAACAAGAACGACTACGTATTGGGCAGAATTGGTAGACACAATATAGTGATATCCGTCTTACCTATGGGGGAATACGGCACGTCCTCAGCAGCAAGGGTCGCGGAGGACATGATGCATAGTTTCCCGAATATTCGAATCGGTTTGATGGTCGGTATCGGAGGGGGAGCCCCGAGTCTGAAAAATGATATTCGCCTTGGCGATATTGTGGTCAGCATTCCTTCTAACGGTCAAAGTGGCGTGATTCAGTACGACTTTGGTAAAACGATCCAAGGCCAAAACTTCCAGCCTACAGGCTGCCTTGATCAGCCGCCTACCGTCCTCCGTGCTGCAGTTAATGGGCTTCGAGCCCAGTATGAAATGGATGGTCATCGACTTGAGGAGGCAGTCAATGAGGCTCTTGAGAGAAAACCAAGGCTGCGGGAAAGATACATGCGGCCCGATATCACGAGTGATCGGTTGTACCGAAGTCACGTCGTCCACCCACCAGATAATGAATTAAGTTGCGCTGTAGGTTGCGCTGGCGATCCAACCAGCCTAGTTTTACGAAATCCACGCTTGCAGGATGAAGACAACCCGACGATACACTACGGCTTGGTCGCGTCAGCCAATCAGCTAATGAAGGATGCTCTGACCCGCGACCGAGTAGTCGCAGAAAAGGATGTTTTATGCTTTGAAATGGAAGCGGCCGGGTTAATGAATCATTTTCCGTGTCTGGTGGTCCGTGGGATCTGCGACTACTCTGATTCCCATAAGAGTAAAGAATGGCAAGGATATGCAGCAATGGTCGCGGCAGCATATGCCAAGGATCTCCTATTTCGAATTACCCCTCAACAGGTGGAGGGAGAAGAGAGGATTTTGGATATCCTGGGGTCATGCATTGACCATGTGGGTGATACAACTGACCGTATTGACCGCAACTTTTCTCTTGATAGAATACCAGTTGCACAGGGCGCTGAGTACGACTCGTTTATGGCTCAACATGAAGATGAATGTCTTGCAGGCACAAGGACCCACATTCTCGAACAAATTCGAGAATGGGCTATTTCTCCGCAGGGGAAGTGTATCTTCTGGTTGAACGGAATGGCTGGAACAGGGAAATCGACTATCTCTCGCACAGTGGCAAAATATTTTAGCCAAAACAAGTCACTAGGAGCAAGTTTCTTTTTCAAAAGGGGCGGAGGGGATCGAGGCAATGCCATGAAGCTTTTTCCAACGGTCGCAAGGCAAATAGCAATTTGCATTCCCGAAACGATCACTAGCGTCCAGAGAGCACTGGATGACGATCCTGGCATCACGATGAAGGGCATGAAGGAGCAGTTCGACAAACTACTCTTCCAACCACTCCTAGGCTTAGAAGAATCCGGCCGCCCAATTCGGACTGTGGTGGTAGTGATCGATGCATTGGACGAATGTGACGAGGATAAAGACATGCGGCTCATCCTCGAACTTCTACCAGAGCTCCAGAAACCAAGGGCTGTACGTCTACGAGTTTTTTTGACTAGCAGGCCTGAAACGCCAATCCGTCTGGGATTCAGAAAGATTACAAACTACGATTATAAAGACCTTGTTCTCCACGAAATTCGTAAGGAAGTGATAGAGCACGATATATCACTTTTCTTGAATCATCGACTTTCAGAGATAAGAACGGATCGAGAAACTCCCTTGCCTATTGACTGGCCCGGAAGCATAAATGTTCAAAAGCTCGTGGCATTATCTATTCCATTGTTTATTTTCGCTGCTACTATATGCCGTATACTGGAGGACCCTTACTGGGATCCAGTTGACAGTCTTGCTAAAATTCTCACATATCAAAATCATGGATCAAAGCTAGATGGAACATACCTTCCTGTGCTTGATCGACTTCTCAATACACAAAGCGAAGAACAGAAAATGCAACTGGTCCAAGAATTCCATTATGTGGTTGGTACAATCGTTATATTAGCGAGCCCGCTCTCAGTCATCTCACTCTCAAGACTTCTGGGCTGCTCCCAAGAGCTTGTGCGTCTTCGCTTGAAGCCATTACATTCACTTTTGAATGTGCCGAGTGATGATGCTTTGCCAGTTCGGCTTTTCCATCTGTCATTTAGAGACTTCCTACTGGATACGGAAACGCGGAAAAAGACTCCATTCTGTGTAGACGAAAAAGAAATACACCTGAGACTAGCGAAAAAATGCCTTAGCGTGTGCGAAGGTTTGAGGCGAAATATATGTGGGCTACCAAGCCACGGAACCGAGCGTGCGAAGATTTCTCGGCAGACTATCGACCACTGCCTTCCCCCTGAATTGCAGTATGCCTGTCGATACTGGGCTAATCACCTAGTGCAATGCATGGAATTAAACGATATAGTACATGATGCTCTCTTGTTTCTCCGGAGACATTATTTACACTGGGTGGAAGCAATGAGCCTTCTAGGTCTTGTGTCGGAAGTGGTGGGGATGCTCAATCTCGTCCGGGCGGCTATATCAGTATGTTCGGCGGGGGCTATATATGATTCGCACTAACCGGTCTAGGACGACAACCAACCCGAGATGTGTTATTTCCTACAAGATGCAAAGCGCTTTGCTTTGAAATTTAGGCAGATCGTCGATGAAGCGCCTCTCCAGCTGTACTGCTCAGGTCTAGTATTTGCACCCAGAATGGCAATCATTCGCAGAGAGTTTGAAGATGAGCTTCCTGATTGGATAAGCCAGTTACCACAAGTTAACGAGAAATGGAGTGCAGAATTACAGGTTCTCGAGGGACATTCCGATTTCGTTACCTCAGTGGCCTTCACTCCGGATGGCCGGCTGTTGGCGTCCGGCTCCCAAGATAAGACAGTGCGACTCTGGGACACGGCGACGGGTGGTCTACAGCAGACTCTCCAGGGCCATTTAGATTCAGTGAACTCAGTGGCTTTCTCACCTAATGGCCAGCTTCTAGCATCCGGTTCCATGGATGAGATAGTCCGGCTCTGGGACACAGCTACGGGCTGCCTACAGCAGACTCTATCTTGCCATTCGAAGTTTGTTTTAAATTCGGTTCAGTCAGTGGCTTTCTCGCCCAACAACCGGCTACTAGCAGCCGGCTTCAAGGATAATACAGTCCGACTCTGGGACACAGCGACAGGCGGCCTGCAGCAAACTCTCGACTGTTATTCGAGGTCGATTTTTGACTCGGTTCAGTCGGTAGCTTTCTCGCCCGATGGCCGGATTCTAGCATCCGGTTACAGGGATGAAATAGTCCGGCTCTGGGACACGTCGACGGGCAGCCTAAAGCAGTCCCTTGAGGGCCAATCTGACCCGGCTCAGTCAGTAGCTTTCTCACCCGACGGCCGGCTGCTAGCGTCCGGCTCCAACGGTGGGACAGTGTGTCTCTGGAATATAGAAACTGGTGGCCTGCAGCAAACCCTCCAGGACCATTCAAACAGAGCTTTCGTGTCGGTTCAATCTGTAGCGTTTTCGCCTAACGGCCGGCTGCTAGCGTCCGGCTCTAACGATCAGACAGTGCGACTCTGGAATATAGAAACTGGCGGCCTACAGCAGACTCTTAAGGGCCATTCATACACAGTTATGTCAGTGGCTTTCTCGCCCGATGGCCAGCTGCTAGCGTCCGGCTCCTTAGATAAGACAGTGCGGTTCTGGGATACAGCGGTGGGCGGCCTACCGCGGACTCCTGGTGACCATTCGTACTCGGTTCAGTCGATGGATTTCTCGCCTGATGGCCAGGTACTAGCTTCTGGCTCTGTTGATAACACAGTGCGGCTCTGGGACACGACAACGGGCAGCCTTCAGCAGACCCTCGAGGGCCATTCGAACACGGTTGAGTCGGTAGTCTTCGCGCCCGATGGCCGGCTATTAGCTTCTGGCTCCGGAGATAAGACGGTGCGACTCTGGGACACGGCGACGGGTGGTCTACAGCAGACTCTCCAGGGCCATTTAGATTCAGTGAACTTAGTGGCTTTCTCACCTAATGGCCGGCTGCTGGCGTCCGGCTCTATTGATCGGAAAGTACGACTCTGGAACACGGCTACGGGTAGTCTGCAGCAGACCCTTGAGGGCCATTCAAGTTGGGTTATGTCGGTTGCCTTCTCACCCGATGGCCAGTTGCTAGCCTCCAGCTCCCATGATAAGACAGTGCGGCTCTGGGACACGATTAAAGGTGATTTGCAGTGGATCCTCGAAGGCCATTCTGACTCGGTTCAGTCGGTGGCTTTCTCGCTCGACGGTCGGCTGCTGGCTTCCGCCTCTCTCGATTACACAGTGCGTCTCTGGGACACGACGATAGGCGGCCTAAAAGAGACAATCAGCACTGATGGAATTGACGATATAATTGGGTTTTCTCAAGACAATTCATATCTAATCACAAACTTAGGCACCCTCGACGTTCAATCCGAGCACCAAAATCAAGGTTCTAGTTCAACCATCAGAAACTTAATGATCAAGCAGGGACAGTGGATAAATTTGAACGGCGAAAATTTATTATGGCTTCCACTTGAATTTCGATCTCGTCGTTCTGCGATTAATGGGAATCTACTTGCAATGGGACATTCATCAGGGCATGTGTCTTTTATACGATTCTGTATATAGCACGTGCCAATTTTCATTCCTTGCTCTCATTTCTAATCTCTTTGTAACAGAAAGGCCTGAGAGAGATTCTTGCCTGTGTGCTCCTTCCAAAACCTTTCTCAACTTTAAGAGTGGAGAATGTGCCCAAACAGTACTTAATGCCGAAAAAACCTCGTCAGTGCTATGTAAACTTTGACGGAGTCTTTGTCGGAGGGCTTTTTGGCGGCAGGCGAGACATGTTTTATAGAAAGGCGAAGGCGGACGCCACAAGCAACTAGAACACAGCACGGAAGGCGTACGAGAGAGCTCCGTAATACAAACATGAAGATCTACCAAAGCAGAATGGAAGAATGCTAGTCAGAAGACTCTACTCCATCGCCCTTCCTGTATTAAAATCAAGGCAGTCTACAATCTCATTGCCAGTAATCCCAACTTCAAGCCCTGCCAGTGGAGTTTGATTTAACCTTTCTAAAGATCCCAGCTAGTACCTAGTTGAATAGTGCTCAGGACATTTTATCAAGCTAAATGGTCTTGACAACATAGATTCAATATCTCTATCACCCTGAAGTAAATAACCCTAGGACCGAATCTTGTGTAATAGCATAGTGTGTATATAAAAACAGGGCGGCAACACATAAAGTCCTATTCAGAAACTATTCATTTACAGTAGAAACCGGAAAAAAAGCAGATAAACTTTAGAGAAAACGTGAACAAGTAGAACCGAAGCCATAGAAAAGCATCGATATGTATGAGCGGCCAACAGCGGACGAAGAGAAAAAAAAATAGAGATAAATAAAGAGGAATTGGAAGAGAGACCAGGATGAACCTGGTAGGAAAAAAGATACGTGCGGAAGTGACCACGTGAGGACAGCAACACGTGAAGGGCCAAGTACCAGACCAATGAGAAGCAGGCTTGGCGCGAATTTGGTATGTCGCAAACCCAGCGTTAACACAGCAACAAGTCAGCCTCGCGTAGATCCGCGGTTTGTAACTGGGGACGCGCGCTATCGCACGCTGTGGCCCTGAAACGAGCTAAAGCGTGACAGTTACACACGTGATATGGCAATGACCAGCAGCGAATAGGGAGTGCAGAAATACCAGCGAATGAGGACGAGTCTTGGCAAGAAAATGGGCCAATCAGCGTCGAGATCGGCGAGAAGTTGGTAGTGGCCTAATGACACCATACTAGGAGCAGGTGAACGATGAATAAGCCGGTCCCGAAGGGTCTTAGTTGTATTCGACCACTTCTTCAGTTCGTCAATATATCTTGCAGGTATCAAGTCAGCATATAGCGACACTAAGTCAAATATTGTACAGTACGGAATATCGCCCAAGAGTACGCGATGAAGCTCGAGCCGAGAGAATTTCATATAGCAGAGCGACCGGAGTATGTACTACCATATCGAATCTAATATTTAAAAATCATTATTTCGCACTGTTTATCAACTTTTGCATTCGTGAAGGAACAAAGATCCCCACTCTGACGGCGATGAGTGTACCGTTGGCCACCACTTCACCGCCCACCCGCATCTTCTCCCTCACCCGTGGTACCCTTAACACGCACCATCCTAGATCTCCACAACACTCGCGCCTCCCTACATCCGGACAATCCCGCTGCTACTGCCAACCAGCAGAGACAAGCATTCATACAGTGGCAACTACTTTCGATTTCAATTAATGCCAAGAATGGCCAGGCTATCATACACCGCGATGCCAGCCGGTCCATGACTGAATGCTCTACTCCACGCTACGTGGAAGAAGATGCCTATCCTCGAATATCAGAGGGTGATCGAAGGCTACAAAGCACACTGCGCTTATCGTGGCTACGCCTGATGGAGTCTACAGTAGATTAAATCTTGAAGTGCGCATACACAAAGCCCCTCTAGAGGAATCTTGATTCTATTGATTCTATTGATTCTTTGGAGCAGGTCTTGGCTTCTTCGAGGACTCCCCCGAATACTAGTCTCTGACACCACGAAGAGGTGCCTGCAATCAATCGTCAGAGGATCAGAACGAGGACTGCGGCACTGCAGGTCGCCTAACAAGCACATATTTGATAACGCAGGGCTCAAGGCTGCATGGAAGCTCAAGATTATACAATCACAGGGCTCAGGGCTGTGAGGGAGAACTTGGTGTCGCAGCGGTCTCCTGCGGAGGCTCTTGGTAACCCAGGCGTCCCTGCGGAGCACATGTTTACAACGCAGGGCTCATTGCTGCGAGGGAGCGCGTTTTTACAGTCACAGGGCTCATGGGCTGTGAGGGAGCACGTTTTTACAATCACAGGGCTCATGGGCTGTGAGGAAGCACGTTTTTACAATCACAGGGCTCATGGGCTGTGAGGGAGAACTTTTTGACGCAGCACTCTCCTGCGGAGAACTTGGTATCGCAGCGGTCTCCTGCGGGTCTCCCTTGGTTTCGCAGTGTCCCCCTGCGGAGGCTCTTGATGTCGCGGAGCCCGCCCCGCGAGGCACATTTGATCACGCAGAGCCCGTCCTGCGAAGAGTACTTGGTAACGCAGATCTTACCTGCAAAAGACACCCAAGGCTGCGAGGCCCGGAGTGTGAGGAGGAAAGTCCTGCTTTTCTTTTCGACGGGAAAAGAGCGTCTTTTATGCTATTCTGAGTAGGGGTTCCGACGGCGACCACTTGCGTACATTTTGCCGAGTCCAGAGATTTTGACTTCAAATTTGCAGTGGGCGACCCTAATTTCGTGGGTGTTGAGGCGGTTGATCAACGTTGAATCAACGTTGAAATTGTTAAGTATCGCGGTGGTCAAAGCTTATGATGGGACTAGCGATGGACGTTTAAATAGATGGGGTTCCCACTTTTGATAGTAACCTCAACAAGAATATTACAACTACCTATCTCAACAGGTTATGAGCCCGGGTGGCTTTACCTTTGGGTATGCAGGCATCTAAATACCAAAATCCCTTGCCTACGATTACAGCTAAGTTTCTCTGTCATGAGACCAACTCCATGAACTTCAGAAACTGATCATATATTCTCAGTAACTTGATGAAAAATACGAAGTCATATTGCTCAACCCCCTTTCGAAGCAATAATTTGGATGAAATTCTTTTCACTGGAGAGCTACGGACAGCATGCTATCATTGCTACTGTGACACACTGTCATAAGGACACGCAGTATCGCAAGGTTGCCTCCATAGCCGGGACATGTCGCCGGTTGCAGCAAGCCTTGGGGATTTCTCCGCCAAATAGGCATAGACAGTGTGCCATGATTGCTACGGTTACACTATGGAACTGACACGAGGTACCGCAAACGTTACCTACTGCTTGGACATGTCACCATTTGCAGCAAGCTCGGTATCTATCTGCTTGGAGTCACCAGCATAAGGCCATCTCGGAAGGAAAATGCGAAAAACACTACAAAAGAGACATTCTTGGACGGACGAGGACCTGAACATCCTCTCGTACCTTCGATACACTTGCCACTGGGGCTTCAAACAAATCCAAGCGTCATACTTCCCAACACTTTCTTCCAGCGCACTCCGAGGAGCCTACTGGAACCTGTCTATTGAGGACCGCAATCGCCGAGCATCGAGGACCATTATCCCAGTTGCACCTTGCAGCTGTGTGGAAGGCTTCCCAACAGCCGTCGAAACGCAATCCGCGTCATTCAGTATCGAGCAGGGGACAAGTCGCTCTAACTGCCCCGCCTCTGGCACTTTCACTCGGTCAGAAAATAACCTTGAGACTTTGGCCTTGACCCCACCAAGCCCTGCGGGTGGATGCGAGCAATTTATTTCCAATAACAGCGTTTCGAGTCGTTACGAACTTCGGCCGAACAGACCCTCAACTTTCCCTCCAAGAAAGCCGCAATATCTAGTTGACCGACGTCATTTCCCACACTTCTTCAGATCGTATAAGTACTCTCTCGATCTACAAGGGCTCTCAGACAACGATTATACTCCTCCATCTCGAACGCCTACGCCAAGTTCATCAGATCGAAGTGTTTCTATTGCCTCAAGCCTTCCTAGTGCCGTGTCAAGCCTTGAACTCTTCGGCTTGGAGGTGCGCTCTCCTCAGTCATCAAATAGTGACTCGGTTACCTCTGATCGGCCGAACGATATATCTGGCTCTGAATTCTTCGGCTCTGAGGAGCATCCTCTGCCGACATGACTGAAATCGCAAAGTTCGAGCAATTCGGAATCAATACGTTCTATAACGGAATTCCAACATTAGACAATGCCAGCGACTGGTTTAGGTGGAATCAGAAGGTCAATGAGTTCATTCGGATATCTGCGGTTGCCGACGATGGAGCGACTCCACTGATAGAAGAAGAAGAAGTACGGCAATGGATTTGCCGCTAAAAGTTCTATTCTGCGATGATCACGGCAAAGCTGACACACAATGCGGCGCAAAGGATCAATGCCTTTGAGATTCCTCGAGTTCAAGTACTGCTTAAGGCAATCCAGGACAACTTCAAACTAGAAGGCTCCGGCACGTATGTTAACCTCCAACGGCGATACATGGCCCTTACAAGAGACAAGTGTGGGAGCACTCAAGCCCTCGGGGCAGAGATCAGGAAGATCCATGCTGAAAAACTCCTCCTTGACCCTGATTGCGTAACCTCCGAAATTGAGCGAATATTTTTCTTCGTGCATGCACTTGGTCCTGAGTATGAGAGCTTCCGCGATCATATCTTCCGACAAATGGACCTTGTCAACGAAAGGGACGCAAATGGGAACGTCACTAAAGCGGTGCCCACATTCGACTATATCGAGAATAAGGCAATTGAGGAAGAGTATCGGAAGGGGCAATTGGGCAAACAAACAACAGAGACGCAAGTACTTCCTGCTCTTGCCCTAGTCCGTGGGCCAGGTGACAAGAAGCTTATCCCGTCGTCGGACGGAACTACTTGTCGAATCGAGATCGATAATGTCCTATATTGCTCCTTCTGCCGAAAACCTTATCACGTTGACTCCGAATGCTTCACCAAGAATCCGAAACTGAAGGTCTACAAAAAGGACGGCAGAATGCACACGGGCGCACGCAAACAGTCGAAGAGGCGGCCCTTGACGGATGATGAGGATGACGATGCGGGTGGTCCAAAGGATCCGAAGAAACCAACGTTCATGGCGATGAAGGTCTCCAAGAAAGATGTTAACGAAGTATTTGGAAACGATATCGAAGGCAATTTCGCCCGGCTCGACCATATCCCCACAATGATGGCGATAACGACCCTTTCTATCCGCGACGCGTGGATCGTGGATAGTGGATGCGCTTAGCACGTCTGCAATGGTGCCTCGAGGTTTGTCCAAATGGACAAGTATCATGGCCCCCTACTAAGAGGTGTTGGCACCTCAACGGCTCCCTCGGGAGTGGGAACAGTGAATATCCTGTGTAATGTACGCGGTAAAAAGAAATGGCTTGTGCTTGATAACGTCCTCTATGTTCCATCTGCACATGCCAATCTGATATCGGTGCTCCAGCTTCTTAAACGAGGGGCTAAAGTCGAATTCTCAAGCCGGGATGCTATTCTTCGCAACAAGTTAAATGGAAAGAACTTGTTTACTGCCAGCGAATACCATGGAGTCTATGCACTCAATCTGTGGGCAAGTCTGACTTTCCCCTCTTATCATGTTAGCCCGCAAATGTCTCTGTGGCATAATCGGCTTGCTTATATGAGTGATGCAAATCTTCGGCGACTCAAAAAGCAGACTCACGGTGTCCGGGATATGGAGCCACGTCATCTATGTAATCCGTGCCTGCAGGGGCGAATGATCGAAAAACCCCACCGCAGATCAGGAAGTAGTAGGAGAGGAGAATACGCAATGGAGCTCCTCCATATTGACGTCGCTGGGCCATTTGACGAGGGACTTGACGGTAGTCGTTATTGGCTCACCATCGTTGACGACTTCACGGGCTGGATCGAGATTACCCCTATACCACGAAGACAAGAGTTCGTCATAGAATCACTGTGGTTCTTCCTCGATCACAACGAGCGCCCCGAGCGAAAATGCAGACGAATACGTCTCGACCGCATATCTGAACAAGTGGGAGACGAGATGAAGTTTATGTTGTTCTCGTGCGCAATCCAAGCGGAGGTGACAGGAGTGGATCAACATCAGCAGAATGGGGTTGCCGAAAGAGCCCATAAGACAATCTATGACCGCATTGGACCTACGCTAGCACATGCAAAGTTGCAGTCTAAGTTCTGGCCGGAAATTTCTCGAACCGCAGCGTTCCTCTCAAATCGGTCGCTGTCATCGAAACTCAACATGACTCCGTACCAAGCGTGGTACGGCGACAGACCTGACCTCTCAAGACTTAGAGTGATCGGATCAAAAGGGGAATACTTGATCCCGCTAAAGCAGAGAAAGAAGCTTACGGATCCGCGAACAAGACCATGTATTTTGCTGGGCTATGAAGGGAATACCAACTACCGTATCCTACTGGGAGACGGAAGAATTATTGGAACTCCAAACGCTGAATTTCAAGAAGTCCTTATAACTCCCTCCACATAGACTATGGAAGATGTGGGAGCCAGACAAGACGGCTTACCTGAGGCAACGGCTGCTGCTGTAGGGGGGAGTGAGATGGTGGGACTAATAAACCAACCGTTGGTAGGTATACGGCAAGCATCCGTGCCTGCTTCGGGGTACCGATTGTTGATGGATCCCCTACAGCGGCCCCTACCTAAGCCGAGAAACGATATCTCGTACACACTGCCTCGGAGTGACGATAACTCGCGAGTGCTTACCCAGCCGAGTGACGATAACTCGCAAACTCAAGTGTTGTTCTAATCGAGTGACGATGACTCGCAGCCAGCTGTTGCTGTACAGGGAGATAGGACCTTGTCGTCCATACGGAGCGACGATACCCTCGGACCTCTATTACCTGCTTATCAGGATTCTGTTCTTGAGATTGGCTCGCCACCCGGTGGCGGCCAGCAACAAGACGACGCTTAACAAAGGCTCAGTTTAGGAGAATGGCAACGATATCCAGATCTCCAACTTGATAGCCTAGTTTATGAAGTGCAGCAAGGAGCACTAGATTATTACCCTGAACTAAAGATTTGCGGTCCAAAAGTCACACTAGATACGTCTGATGAGAGCGAAGAAGAGCTTGTACTAATGAATATACCCGAAGAGAACGTCATCTTAATATTCTTGACGGTAGCTGCAGAGGAAACAGAACCCTTTGAGCTAAAGAACCTGTATTATGCGAAAAACGACACAAGCTGGCTTGAATGGGAAAGAGCCATGCTCGAAGAAGTGGAATTACTCAAGCAAAACAAAACATGGGAGCTTGTTGATCCCCCCTAAAGACCGGTGAGTTCTTAGTGGAAAATGGGTGTTCAAACTCAAACGAGGACCTTATGGCGAAGTACTCCGCCATAAGAGCAGATGGGTGGTGAGAGGCTTCACGCAAGAAGACGGTATTGACTATGATGAAACCTTTGCCTCGGTTGTCAAGCCAATGAGCTACAAGGCCCTCTTTGTAATCGGAGCGGCCCTAGACCTGGAGATCGAGCAAATGGACGTCAAAACCGTATTCTTGTACGGACACATAGACCACGAGATCTACGTCGAATAGCCCCATTACATGACGGATGGTACCTCAAGGGTCTGCAAGCTTCGAAAGGCCCTCTATGGGTTAAAGCAGGCTCCTTGCATCTGGTATTAGACCCTCACGAACTTCCTACGTAATCTTGGCTTCGAGCTAATCACCGCCGATCTTGGTATCTTCGTTCGGAGTAATATGTACATCGCGGTGTATGTTGATAATCTCCTGATCGTCGGTCCGAGTATCGCAGAGATCAAGAAGATTAAGCGGAGCCTAAGGAACCGTTTTCAGATGACAGACCTGGGCCTATGCAGCTACTACCTTGGGATATCCATCCAGCGAGACCGCCAAAACAGGAAACTGTCCCTAAGTCAAGAAGTATACATTGACAGGGTTGCTCATCAATTTGATATTGGCAACTGCGCTCCCATTGGTACGCCGATAGAAACCTCACCGCTTCCAGAGAACAGCCCAGACTATACGTGCCCTCCAGATCAGAGGACCTCTTACCAACGCATGGTCGGATCTCTGATGTATATTATGCTTGGAACCAGGGGGGGACATCGCGCACGCAGTCTCTGTGGTGAGTAGATCTCTGGCAAATCCTGGGCCCCAGCACATGAAACTCGCTCAACGTATCCTGCGGTACCTCAAAGGAACAAAGAGCCTCAGACTCGCGTACAAAGGTTAGCCTCAGAAACTGAAAGGCTTCACAGATGCAGATTGGGGAGGATGTCGTGACACGAGACGGTCAACAGCTGGGTATCTCTTCAATATTGGAAGTGGGGCCATCAGTTGGCAATCGAAACGTCAGGGCGTCGTTGCCCTCTCAACCTGCGAAGCCGAATTTCTAGGGCAGACACAAGCCACCAAAGAAGCAGTCTGGTTGAGAAGGCTTCTCAACGAATTGAATATGAACTAAGGCATGAACGCCACGATCATCTGCGGGGATAACCAAGGAGCTATTGCGCTCTCCTCGAACCTACAATACCACTCCCGCACAAAACATATGGAGATCCAACGCAAGTGGCAGGGAGAGGTCCAAGACAACGGAACAGTTAAACTCAAGTATATCCCCACCACAGAGCAAATTGCTGATGGGTTCACCAAACCCCTTGCTCGGGAAAGATTTGAGTGGTTTCGGAGAGGGCTTGGTATCGAGTGATTGCTACACCTTATTTGTATTGAACAAGACTAAGGCGCAGGGCGTCCTTTCCTCCCTTTCTTCACAAATGAAGTTTTTGGAGGTTTTAATGGAGCCCGTCGCAACTGCGATTATATGGTCGCTGACACCATTGGTAATGGGTTGCCATCGAGTGGGAGTGTTAAGTATCGCGGTGGTCAAAGCTTATGATGGGACTAGCGATGGACGTTTAAATAGATGGGGTTCCCACTTTTGATAGTAACCTCAACAAGAATATTACAACTACCTATCTCAATATTAACAATCATGATCGATGGACCAGTGAGTCAACATGTTGATTTGCGGCGTGGCGTAACTGCCGAGCGGTGAAGTGGCTGCCAACGGTGACTACCGATCGCCGCTACAGTTGGATCTTTGTTGGCTCACCAATGCTGTAATAGATGATAGACGGTGAAACATGATGCAG